CTATCTATCTATCTATCTATCTATCTATCTATCTATCTATCTATCTACTCTATATCTATCTACTCTATATCTATCTATCTATCTATCTATCTATCTATCTATCTATCTATCTCTATTATCTATCTGTTTTGGGTCTCTATCTATCTCTATCATCTATCCATCTATCTATTTCTGTCTCTTACCTCTCACTCTATCTATCCATCCATCCCTTGGTTTTTACCCAAATGGATTCAATTTCCTTAAGCAATGCAGAGGTGTCATCATGCATCACAATCACCACAAATGGGCCATTTTATGGATGGAAGGGAGGCACAAGCCCCCCTCACCCACCCCCCAATCCAGCCAGTAGATTGGGGTCTCATTAGAAAGTCTGCACTACTATTACTACTAATCTTCTCATCACTCCTTATCGCCCATCCCCTCCCACTTGTGACTGTATGACTGTAACTTGGTCCTTGTATCCTAACGATTTATATTGACTGTTTCCTAGTATGATTTGATTGCTTATTGTACCCTATGACTATCATTAAGTGTTATACTTTGTGATTCTTGACTCTTGAATGAATGTATCTTTTCTTTTATGTACACTGAGAGCATATGCACCAAGACAAATTCCTTGTGTGTCCAATCACACTTGGCCAATAAAAGAGTTCTAATTCTAATTTTAATTCTGCTCACCCTTAAATGCAGTTGTGTTGCTTTAGAAACTCCACCCCCCCCCCCCTTTCCAGTTACAATCTAGGCTGTTCCACTGGATTAGGGAAAGCTGTTACACAGCTCTTCCGTTTCAATTCCTGTCGTTTTTTGGGATTCAGGCAGGAAACATTACTGGCCAAATATTGTTCAGAAGTGGAGCCACTTTCCTGGAAAAGCCCTCAGGTCTGCATGATGCTAACTTAAAGCTGCAGTAACGTCTTGCTTAGGCTGTCGGTTTGCTTGAATTGCAAAGGAACTTTGAAGTTTTAAAATTTGGATGCTAAATCTTGCCAAGAGCAAATGCTCGATACGGTTAGTCCTTGTCTTGAGACCACAGCTGAGCCCAAAATTTACGTTGCTAAGTGAGAAATTTATTAAGTAAGTTTGACCCTATTTTTACGATCTTTCTCGCCACAGTTAAGCGAATCATTGCAGTTATTAAAGTTAGTAACACAGCTGTTAAGTGAATCTGGTTTGACTTTGACTTTGTATATCATAAGGACTCAAAAGAGGATCACATGACTTGGGCCCTGCAACTGTCATAAGTACATGCCAGTTGCCAAGTGTCTGAATTTTGATCACATGACCTTGGGGAATTCTGCAATGGTTGCAAGTGTGAAAAATAGTCCAAAGTCAAACTTTTTTTCAGTGCCATTTTAAGTTCAAAAGGTCACTAGATGAATGATTTTAAATGCAGGAATATTTGTAATTTCAAAAAACACCATCCTTTTAAATACGTGAGTGCCTTTAAATATCCAAGTTGTATTACCCTGAAAAGGGAATGAAAAAATACATGTGCTATGTTTACATAATTTTTGTGGAGAAATTAAAAACAGATAGAAACCCGCGGGAGTCCGTATGATTTATGAGCAATGACCTCATAAAGCAATTTGGTAAAACTCAGGAGCGAATTAACATGTTGGGAATTGTTTGTCCTTTAGCAGTAAGCAAGTAATTTAGTAAGTCAATAGTTGGAAATGTTCAGCTGAGTCACCTTGAACTTGGTGATTCTTCTCCACATTTCACTGGTAAGTAGAAAAGAAAGAAAAGAAATTCAGAAGGCTGCATTGGTTCCCTGTTTGAATTCACTGAATCGTGAAAGGAGACTTCATCAAGGACTTTTAGGCTATGCAAATTTGCTAACTTTAGAGCAGAGGTCTCCAAACTTGGCAACTTTAAGATTTGTGGACTTCAACTCCCAGAATTCCTCAGCCAGCATAGCTCACTACATATAATCCTTGATTTACAAACATCCACTTAGTGAATGTTTGAAGTTGCACTGAAAAAAGGTGACTTAACGACTGCTTTTCACGCATACGATTGTTGGCAGCATCCCTATGGTCATATCAACAAAATTTGGGCTCTTGGCAACGGGCATGTATTTGCCGTCATTGCTGCCTTCTTGGTCATGTGATCACCATATATAACCTTTCCATTCAGCTTCCAACAAGAAAACTCAATGACACTAGACTCACTTAATGACTGCAGCATCCATTCATCCAGTCATCCAGACTGGGTCCTGCAACATTATCCTGGAACATGTACTGTATATTTGCCTTCATTTGCTTAATGACTGCATGAATCATTTAATAACTTCAGTGATTCATGTTATGTGGCCAAAAGGTCATAAAGTGGGACAGAACTCACATAACAATAGCCCTTAGACTTATATACCGCTTTACAGTGCTTTTACAGCTCCCCCTATAAGCGGTTTACAGAGTCAGCCTATTTCCTCCAACAATTTTTGGGTCCTCATTTTACCCACCTCAGAAGGCTGGAAGCCTGGTTGATTTCACATTTCTGGATCTACGTTTTGCATCTTTGGGACAAAACGATTGCACAACGCTGTCCTTCTCTTAAGTAGCCCCCCAAAATCCACCCGAGTAAACCCATTTGCTTATTCCTTGCAAGGCTGGAACAGGAAACAAGAAAGAAAATAAAATTTTATTTTCCAGATTCGTTTGCACCGTTCACTGTATCGGATATCTGGCTGTGTCCACCAACCTGCTTTTCTCTCGGTAACGAATTTGGATTTATTTCAGGAAGTGAATGCCTTAGAATGTGAGATCCAGCTCCTTAAAACGCTCCGTCATGAGAGGATAGTACAATATTACGGCTGTCTCCGCGATCCGGAAGAGAGGAAACTGTCCATCTTTGTGGAATATATGCCTGGGGTAAGCCATCCTATTTATCGATTTATACGTGTATTTCTATCCCCGTTGGGATCCAAGAGATTCTTCACGGCCTACACATGAATGAAAACAATGTGTGGAAAATATTCATAGTATAATTCTAAAACCCCACAATCACCCTTTGGAACTGTATATCTTGACTTACTGTCTATCTCGACTTAGTGACTGTTCAAAGTCACAACAGCACTGAAAAAAGTGACTTATGACCGTTTTTCACACTTACGACCACTGCAGCATCCCCATGGTCATGTGTTTGAAAATCAATCACTTGGCCACCGACCCATATTTACAATGGATTGCAACGTCCCGGGATCATGTGATTAGCTTTTACGACCTTCAACGGGGAAGCCCAGATTCACTTAACAACTGGGTTACTAATTAAACAACTGCAGTGATTCACTTAACAACTATAGCAAGAAAGGTTATAAAACGAGACAAAACTCACCCAACAGATGTCTCAATTTACAACAGACGTTTCGGGCTCAATTATGGTTGTCAACTGAGGATTACCTGTGCAACGTTAAAAACAAAACCTTATGCATTACTGTAAAAATGAAAGTTAGAAAACAAAATGGCAACACCCCATCAGGGGACATCCCTCTGAAATCATAGCAATAGTATTAAGACTTATATACCGCTTTATGTGCTTTTACAGGCCCTCTCTAAGCGGTTTACAGAGTCAGCCTCTTGCCCCCAACAATCTGGGTCCTCATTTTACCCACCTCGGAAGGATGGAAGGCTGAGTCCACCTTGAGCCTGATGGGATTTAAACTGCCAAATTGCAGTCAGCTGGCAGTCAGCAGAAATAGCCTGCAGTACTGCACTCTAACCACTGTGTCACAAAGGCTCTTAATTCTGTTTTCAGGAATTTTCAAAAATAAATTAACAATAAAGGGAACCATGGTGAATTTCGTTACCGGAATTCACCAGCCAGCATGCTGCTGGAAAATTCTGGGAGTTGAAATTAAAATATCTTCAAAGTTTCTGAGATTGTGAAAAAACTATTCTAGGGGAACAATACAGGTAATCCTTGATTTATGACCAGAGTTGGGACAAGATGGTCAAACAAGATAGTTGTTAAGTGAGTCACACCGGATTTTTATGACCTGTTTGAATTGGTTGTTAACCAAATTACTGCAATTATTAAGTGAATCGCACATTTTTAAATGAATCCTGCTTCTCTCATTAACTTGGATTGTCAGAAGCTGGTTTGGATGTCACGAATGGTAATGATGTAACCCCGGTACAGTGAAATTATCATAAAAACATGCCAGTTTGCCAAGTGCCCAAATTTTGACCCCATGACCATGCGAATGCTGTGGCGATTGTTACTGGCACGACCGGTTGTAAGTCACTTTTTCAATGCCGTTCGAATAGTCGCTGAACGAATTGTAAGTTGTGAGTTAAGGAGTATACCTGGGTAGGAGTGTCGTGAGTGCAGCTAGCTGCTTTAAACCGAGTTCCTTTGGCCCACTTCATACAATTTGCACCAACTCAGCCTTAAACCTGGGAATAGGAAGAGCTGAAGTCCTCGTTTGGAAATGTCTGGTCACCACAAAAGAATGAAAAAAGGAAAAATAAAACAAAGGGCTTTTTCCAACCAGGAAGCACGAGGGCTTGAGAACAAAGGTTTCCGAATAACACAGGTGCTAATATTCACTTTTCTTTGTTTCTCTTCCCCCCCCCCCCCCAAAAAAACAAAAAACAAAAAAAACAAGCACTTTGGCCAGTTTTGTTTGGAAGCAATTTATTGCATTGTGCAACCCTGGCCAAGTTCGTTCTGATCGGATGCAGGCCGCAATCATGTTAAGCCTTCATTGGGATGTGAAGAACTTGGCGGCCGACATAAGCCTCCCTATCCTGTATCCACCATTCAGCGAATCAGAGCAGTTGGGTATTCAAGATCAAGGGAAGTACTAATAGCACTCTATAAAGCTATGAGTAGGATCACACCTAGAGTACTGCATCCAGTTTTGGTCACCATATTATAAAAAAGATGTTGAGGGTCTAGAAAAAGTGCAGAGAAGAGCAACCAGGATGATTAGGGGACTGGAGGCTAAAACATACAATGAACGGTTGCAGGAACTGGGCTTGGCTGGTCTAGTAAAAAGAAGGACCAGGGGAGACATGATAGCGGTCTTCCAATATTTGAGGGGCTGCCACAGAGAGGAAGGGGTCAAGCTATTTTCTAAAGCACCTGTAAGGCCAGACAAGGAATAATGGATGGAAACTGAACAAGGGGAGATTTAATCTGGAAATAAGGAGAAACTTTCTGACAGTGAGAACAATCAACCAATGGAACAGAAGTTGCCCTCGGAAGTTGTGGGAGCGCCATCACGTGAGACTTTCAAGAAGAGATTGGACTGCCATTTGCCAGAAATGGTGTAGGGTCTCCCGCTTGGGTGGAGGGGGGTTGGACTAGATGACCTACAAGGTCCGTTCCAACTTTGATTATCTGTAATCTGTAATTGGCTATAGATAGTCCTTTATTTATGACCACTATTGAGCCCAAAATTTCTGTTGTTAAATGAGGCAAGTGAGTTTTGACCCATTTGACCACCTTTCTTGCCACCGTTGTTAAGTGGATCACTTGTTAGAAACACAGTTGTTAAGCTTCCCCAGGGATTTTGGCTTGTCAGGCGGTCACAAAAGCTGATCACACAATCGATCCCAGAACGCTGCCATTGTCATCAATAGGAACTGGTTGCCAAATACCTGTTCTGATTCAAACCTTGTTCCAAGGAAACAAACACGAAACAGAGGTAATAGCAAAATGATTCTTTACGAATTCCGTTCCTTCACGGTTAAAAGGCTGTTTCAAACTAATTGTCTCTGATAAGAATGAGCCTTGCCAAGGTTGTGCAAGGCTGCCAAGTACACTAGATAAAGTTACTAAGAAATATTTCAAACACAAAGAGTCTCCAAACACCAACCAAGATATTCCAAACGTCCACCAGGCTTGAGTGCAAAAACTTCTTTGCTTCCTGCAGAGAACTCCTGTTTCTCAGCTGGCTTTTATCTCTTAAGGGAGGGGCCATTACCTTGCAACCTTACTCCCGAGTTGCCCGTGCTGCTGTAGCTGCTCTTTCCTTTGAGCAACCCTGTGCGCATGCGCCCTGGGCACAGGCTCCTCGGGGGCCTCTTCATCACTGCTGCCAGCCTCCACAATCTCCAAAGGCAGCGCTCCACTCCCTGACGGTCCTGGTCCCATCCCTGCATCACACGCAGGCCCCTCGTCTGAGTCCTCGCTCCCCGAGGCCTCAGCCATCCGCACCTGCTGCCGGCGATACCCAGGGTTTGATCGCTTGACCACGGGGATGTTGTAACTGTCATAAGTGTGAAAGACAGTGTAAAGTCACTTTTTTCAGTGCTGTCGTGATGGTCACTAAATCAATGGTTGTAAGTTGAGGACTACCTGTATCCTTTGGTGGGCTGCTACCGGTTCGGCAGCTCAGCTGACTCACACGGCAAAGTGGATTACCACACCTCAGCCGTTCTACTTACAGGGAAGATTAGAAGGTGAGCTGGAGAGGTTCAAATTGGTGTTTATTGAATGCTGCGTGTACAAAGCAGGCGCTCACAGAACCAGTTGTTAAATTGGTTGCAGCCCACCACTGCGAAATCAAGTGAGGTACTAATGCCACTCTATAAAGCCTGAGTAAGACCACACCTAGAGTACTGCATCCAGTTTTGGTCACCACATTACAAAAAAGATGTTGAGACTAGAAAAAGTACAGAGAAGAGCAACTAGGATGATGAGGCTAAAACATACGATGAACGGCTGCAGGAACTGGGCCTGGCTAGTCTAGGGAAGAGAAGGACCAGGGGAGCCAGGATAGCAGCCTTCCAATATTTGAGGGGCTGCTACAGAGAAGAAGGGGTCAAGCTATTCTCCAAAGCGCCTGTAGGCCAGACAAGGAACAATGGATGGAAACTGAAACAAGGAGAGATTCAACCTAGAAATAAGGAGAAATTTTCTGACAGTGAGAACAATACAGGCAGTTGCTTAGCGTTCCATTCAGTGTTACAGCAGGCGTCCCTGGGGTTGTTTGCAACCTGCATTCAAAGTTTTCCCTGCACAGTCATATGACTGCACTTCAGGTGGTCAGAAGCCAATCTGTTTTTTTCTGGTCATTTGCAATGTCTTGTGGTCAGGTGACTCATTTTACAACTCCCCACCCCCCCAAACTGGCATTTCCTTCGGATTTCAGTCCATAACAAACTCTTAATTCACTTAACAACCATGGGGGTTCAGCGTTTAGCAACTGTGTTGATTGACCACAAAAAAGGTGATAACAGAATGACAGCGTTGGAAGGGACCCTGGAGGTCTTCTAGTCCAACCCTCTGCTCAGGCAGGAAACCTTATCCCATTTCAGACAAATGGTTGTCCAATCTCTTTTTTTAAAACCTCCAGTGCTGGAGCACCCACAACTTCTGGAGGGAAGTCGTTCCACTGGTTAATTGTTCTGTCAGGAAATCCCTCCTTAGTTTAGATAAAATTTGTTCATAGTTTTGCAGTGTTAATTCAGAGCCAGAAAAATAAACACAGATGGCTGATGCTTCATTTAACATCTTTATAAACATAATAAGTAGATTTTACAAACCAGTTGTAGATTTCTCCAACATGAAGCAAACTCAGAGAGAAACATGTTGCAAGTAACTTCAGTAGCACCAGAGAACAGAGAGAGCTTCCAGTTTCACTTTAGTTTAGCAAGCAACAGAGGAGAGAAGCAGTTTCATTTTTAACAGACAGACTCAGAGCTCAACATAGACTACTTCTAGTTTCAGTTTCCAAACAGTCCTCATTGGCTGACTTAGTTGCTATGACTATTCATTGGCTGATCTTGTCACCATGTTCTATTTCAGTTCATGAATATGCTCTGCCAAAATGGAGTCCGTCCATTGATTTAGGACATTCCCGAGATATGGCAGTGATGAGCAGTCTCCATTACAGGGAACTCTAGTGGAGACTGCCCGTTGTGGTTATAACTCGAAAACTACCTGTATTTTTCTTCTGTACTGTCAGTACTTAGTGGGGGTGCACCTGACTCAAATATGATTATTTATGCCTTTAAACTACAGCTGGTGCCCCAGGAGCTGAGAAACTTTTCAGAAGGTGTAGGATTGCAGGAAACTAAGAAACTAATCAGTTATTGATCTCTTGTCTGTGTTTTTAGGGTTCAATCAAAGACCAACTAAAGGCCTACGGTGCCTTGACAGAGAATGTGACTCGTAAATACACCAGGCAGATCTTACAAGGAGTTTCCTACCTCCATAGCAACATGATTGTACACAGGGATATTAAAGGTAGGCGCACCTCAGGTGTTATCTTAAGTCATCCAAGACGCTTCAAGGACCAAATGAAAAAAAAAAAAAGTTCTCTAACTTGACAGGGCCTGGAATGAAAACCAAGGTTGTGATGAAATTCGCAGTTCAATTTCTCAAAATATTTCATCTCACCTTGGAAATGATTTTTATTTTCCTACTTTATTTGCAGGAATTTTTAGAGTTTTTATTTTAGAAAGGTTCTTGTTAGTCATCTGAGCTGATTGTATCATTGAAAGCGATAAGGATTCGTGATGATTCAGTATCATATACTTCTGAATTGTCCTTTGTAGTCCAGTTTCCTGGTCTGGAGAACAAGCAAAAAAAAAAAAAAAACTACAGGCAGAAAATATATTTTTAATTCTCAACCTCAGCAGCTTCAAGATGGTGGATTTCCCCACACTGGCTGGGGAATTCTGGGAGTTGAAGTCCACCGATTTGTTGAGATTGAAAAAACACTATTTTAACATCTTTCTTTGGCATTTAAGGAGAATTAAGGCACTTAAGAGAATCTTCTCACATACGTCTTTCACCTATCTTGTCAGTAAATTAGGGCAAGGCCATCTCAATACAGGTAGTCCTCAACTTATGACTGCAGTTGAACCCAAGATTTATGTTGCTAAGTGAGAAATTAGTTAAGTGAGGTTGCCCCCGTTTTACAACCTTTCTTGCCACAGTTGTTAAGTGAATTGCTGCAGTTGTTAAATTAGTAACCCGGTTGTTAAATGAGTCTGGCTTCCCCCATTGGACTTTGCTTGACAGAAGGTTGAAAAGGGGGATCATGTGACCTTGGGACACAGCAATGGTCATAAGTATGAATCAGTTGTCAAGCATCCAAATATAAATCATGTAACCGTGAGGACGCTGCAACGATCATAACTGAAAAATGGTTGTTGTAACTTTGGATGGTCACTAAGCGAACTGTTGTAAGTCAAGGACTACCTGTACCTATGTATCAGAATCTCATTACATCAAACCCCCACTCCTTTAAAACCTATTTAAAGCAAATTCTCTTTTATCTCTTTTATCAAATTGAATTAGAACAGGAAGGGGGAAATGCCACCCCCACATTAATGTAAGAACTTTAGCAACCCAAAAAACAGGAGTTTTATGCCAGAAAGGATATGCTAATTAAAACACAGCTGGCCAAAAAAACATCAAGGCCATCATTTGTCTGCTGCTACAATGATATAAAGGTAAAGAAGTAGGCACGCATGTACACTATATCAGGGGTCCCCAACCACCGGTCCACGGACCGGTACCGTTCCGTGGAACAAGTCCTACCGGGCCGCTGGTTTGCTGGGCGCCGCCATCTTTTTTTGATGAAAAAGTGCTTCCGGTGAGCTTTTCCGGGTAGAAAGCTCACCGGAAGCACTTTTTCATCAAAAAAAGATGGCGGCGCCCAGCTGATGCCGGTACCGGGCCGCGCCATAAAAAAGGTTGGGGATACCGGGCCGCGGCATAAGAAAGGTTGGGGATCACTGCACTATATCTCTCCATATATAAAAGCGAAAAAGCACTCATGCATCATCACAAAATCTCCAGAACCGTAAAGCCTACAAACTTGAAATTCGGCATGTATGTTCCTCTTGGCTTCTAGGTGCTCACTAAGAAAGGATTTTTTGAAATGACCATCAGAGCATTAGTATTTCCTTTATTATTATTATTAACATGCTCTGATGCTAAGGAATTCTACTCACCACCTGAAAAGACACCTGTTCCAAATGCAAACACAAACAGAGGAGAGGAGTTTCAGTTTCAATATTAGTTTCACAGCAGCAACCAGCTTTAGTACAGAACAGTTGAGCGAAGCCATGCTCAGGCTCCTTGCTGTCTCCTTCTTGCTCACACAGCAAATACTGCTTCAGTTTCCAAACAGCCAACTTTTTCATACACTGACAGGATGCTACCCAGATGAATACCGATGGATGCTGGTAGGCAGAGGCAGAATTTTTTACCCTTTATTTTCCTCCCAAAAAACTAAGCCTGACCACATAGTTTCGTAGCAAAGCACAGGTATCGAGCTAGTTATTTAATATTATGCATTTTAAAAATATGGACACATACTCATACTATTTTATTATAATACGGATTTTTTTAATACATCAGTGTACGCGCACAAATATTCTTACAATATGAGGGAGGTTGCTATTGTTGAAGAGCAGGAATTATCCACATAATTGGGGACAACAACAGCAAAAAAATCCCCAAATTGAAGCTGCTAGAGAAAATATGTGAGATTTATTTTGGTGGCCGATAAGAGTTAAATTTCCAAGGGCTGCATGTTCACGTGAATCCCTAGTGGTAAAAATATGTCCCTGAATATGCAGCAAATATGAGTTGTCTTGTGATTATCTCAATCTTCATTGTACACAATCAAATGCTAAGCACTAGGTACTTAACAAAGGGAAATGGAATTCAAGATTTACAGCAATATCTTGCCAACTTACTGCTAACTCTGTCATGTTGTCTTCTCCTCATTTGTCCTCCCCTCCACCTCCTCCCCTCCTATCTTTTCCTTTTTGTCTGTCTTATTCTCCTCCTCGTCTTTTCCTCCTCTTCCTTTTCCCTGGCTATCTTTCCCTTTTTCTCTTTATCTTCTCCATCTCGTTTTCTCTTTGTCTCATCCTCTTCCTTGTCTTCTCCTCTTGTCTATCTTTCCCTTTTTCTCTTTGTCCATCTCCTCCTCCTCTTCTTTCTCTTCTGTCTTTTCCTTCTCCTCTTTGTCTATCTTATCCTCCCCTTCCTTGTCACCTTCTCCATGTTTCTCCTCGTCCTCCTCCGTCTATCTTCTTTTTCCCTCCTCCCTTTCCTCCACTAGGTGCCAACATTTTGAGAGATTCTGTGGGGAACGTGAAACTTGGGGACTTCGGGGCCAGCAAACGCATTCAGACGATCTGCATGTCTGGAACAGGGATAAAATCAGTCACAGGGACTCCCTACTGGATGAGCCCAGAGGTGATCAGCGGAGAAGGTTATGGAAGGAAGGCTGACGTGTGGTAAGAACCATTTTTTTTTCCCATTTTCAGTTTTGTTTACAGGCTTTATGTGACGGGAAACCAAGGAGGAAGGCGGAGTCCTTTTCGCCTTCCAAACGAGTCGCAGAAGTAAACATTTCCCCCCCCCCCTCCGCGGTCTTCCTCAGGAGCCTGGGCTGTACTGTGGTAGAAATGCTGAATGAAAAGCCACCGTGGGCAGAATATGAAGCTATGGCTGCCATCTTCAAGATCGCGACCCAGCCAACCAAGCCTCAGCTTCCCGACGGGGTTTCTGAGTACTGCCGCAACTTTCTCAAGCTGATCTTTGTCGAAGAGAAGCGCAGGCCCACCGCAGAAGACCTTTTGAGGCATCCCTTCGTCAACTTCAGCCTCTAGCAGGGGCTCCTGCTGGAAGAGAAGGAAGAAACCAAAGAGTTCACCCCTTTAAAGAAAAGGAGTGGATGAAAGTCAACCTCACTTGGGTTGCTTCTCCCTGGGGCTGTGTAGTTTTCTTATCAGGCCTCCTTGGCTGAACCTTGTGGTGCCTTTAGGCTGAACCCCTCTCTTTCTTGATCCTTCTGGATGATCAACGAGAAGGAGGTTTTTGGCAAACCATTGGTGCCATTCATAAAGCTATTTGTGCCTTTGTGAATATTGGCAGATTCTCTGCTTAGGTAGCTTTGAGAATTGAATGGGTTGGATCAGCCACTAAGGAACAAGATGAAGGAATTTGGTAGATTTTTTTTTTTTTGACTAGAACACTTGAGTAAAACTGCTTTTCGGAACCAGCTTAGCTGTTCTCTGCCAATAGATAGCTTTGAAAGGGGAGCTTACAGGATGCTTTGAAAAAGGAAAAGCTGCGATTCATAGAATCGCTTACAAAATAATCACCCTGAATAAAAAAAAAAGCTAGAGAAATTCAGGAGCATAGAGGGCTTCTCCAAACCTTTGAGCCTAAAAGGTAAGGAAAAAAGTTACATTCCAATCACATGTTAAATATTTTGCAGAGGGCAGTTGTCTGCTGTGGCTAAATTTCATGGCTTATGTTTTAGGTTTCTTCTAAAATCACAAAGTTGTTAAACGATGGCAGAGCTGTTCCTTGCTTCACCCAACCATTGTTGCAAAAGGATAAATTAAATATCCTCAGTCTTGCGGTCTGAGGGTATCACCCAAAGCTCTTCCACCAAATAGCCTTCAACAATTATTTAAGTATAAGATATTGGCATTACCTTTATTAATGGGTTGGGTGAAGAGATGGATTCTGTTGCTGAATGAAAAGTTGCTCTTTCCCGCAAACTAATTTGTGATCAACTTATTTATTTATTTATTTTTAAACAAAGTAGACACTTAACTAAAAACAACAACAATAACAAAAACATTTTCCAGGGCAGAATAGTTTTCCCGGCTGGGTTAGCTGAATGCATTGCAAAAAAAAAAAAAGACCATTTATCTCAGCTTGATGAATGAAAGAACTGTTCGATCTAACAATGACAACTGCCTCAGTTTAATTCAATGAAAGAAGCTTACCAAATAGCCCCCAAATCCCATTCAGATCAAACATACAAATACTGTAGAACAGTGGAAAGGACGGAATAAGCCAGATTAAAATGTTTTCAGCCTTGGAAGAGATAATTTTCCATGTGGACAAGTAAGCTTTCAAGGCAAAAAAGAGATCAGATACATAAAGGAAAATAGGTTTGGGTCAGTGCTAAAAGAAAGCACTATATAGGTAGGCTTCAACTTACAACTATACTTCAGACTGGAATTTCCATTGTATGTTGGTGCGGTCATAAAACAAGTCATTACATAACTGGGTCATTTTTACCACGATCACTAAGCAAATATATCTTCTCCAACTGATTTTTTATGTGTGTCAGAAACCAGCTGGGTAGATCTCAAATCTTAGAGATTGCAGGTCTTCAGCCATCTTGCCAAAAATCTGAATAGTGATTATGAAACTGCAAAGTAGTAAGTGGAAAAACAGGTCATAAATCACTTTTTTCCTGGGTATTATAACTTTGGTTAAACGAATGGTTATAAGTCAAGGACTTCCTGTACAAGGCTACTAACCAACCAGCGCCAAATCATTCTCTGCCAATTTTTTCTTGATTCGTGTTGCAAATTGCTGGTTCAAATATTTCTCAGAAAGTTAAAATTCCTAAACAAACAAAACATAAAAACATCAAGCTATCTTCCATAGGTGTACATACAGTGTGCCGGTTGGTTTACAAATTGTTTTGTGCTTCCACTTCATAGTCTTCAATTACAATTACATTACATATAATCTCATATTGTCAATCAAAAATTAAATACCTTAGTATCATTATTAATCAATCATTTGACTATACTTTTATTCGTTCATGTTTTACAAGATAACCATAATTTACTTAATTTATTTTATAACAGTTCATATTATCATCCCAAATCTATCCTAAAATCATTTTGTAGATATAAGAAAGAAGTACATCTTTATATATTTATTATTTTCTAAAAATCTACATATTTCATTACTGTACTTTATTGTCTAACCATTGATAGAAAAGATCCCAAATTTTATAAAATTGTTTATCCTCTTGTTCTCTAATTTCAAATGTCAATCTACTCATTTCAGCACATTCCAATATTTTCTTAATGATTTCCTCCTGTGATGGTATTTTCTCATTTTTCCAGTTTTTAGCAAATACAATCCTAGCCGCTGTTAATACATTTACAATCAGGTATTTCAAGTCTTTATTATATATTTCAGGTAAAATTCCCAATAAAAATATCTCTGGTTTCAAGTCTATATGTTTTTTTCGTCATTTTTTCCAACCACATGTGGATTTTAGTCCAGTATTTTTTAGCATCTGCACAAGTCCACCACATATGGTAATATGAGCCAGGTGTCTGATGACATTTCCAACATTTTTTGGATTTATTCTTGAACATTCTTGCTATTCTTGTCGGGGGGAAATGCCATCTGTAAAACATCTTATACAAATTTTCTTTATATGCTGTTGACATTGTCATTTTATAATTTTGAGACCACAATTTTTGCCATTTCTCTAGATCAATCCCATATCCAAAATTCTTCCCCCAAGCAATCATAGTTTCTTTAACTTGTTCTTCTTCTAGTTTAATTTCTAATAGGTGTCCATACAATTTTTTAATCACCTTTTCATCAGTACCTGTCAAAATCTTATCTAAGTCAGTCAGTTTATCATAGAAACCTTCTGTTTTAGAATCTTTATCATACCTTGAATGTATTTGCGCATATGAAAACCAATTCATCTTTATACCTTGTTCCTCTAGTTTTTGAATAGATTTAAGTTCACCCTTTTCATTCAGTATTTCACCATATCTAACTTTGTTCCTTTTTGTATATTATAGGATATGAGAATGCTTCAATAGTCAATAACCGGACTGGAATTTTCAAATAACATTGTCTTTTAATCTTCTCCCAGTTTAACCACAGAGACTCCCGTATATAATGTCTTCTAAAATACCCCTGTGTTTTAGTTCCTTTGTACCATAAAAAAGCATGCCACCCCAACAACAAATCATGTCCTTCTAATGTCAACAATCTAGCATTTCTTAGTGTTATCCATTCCTTAACCCACATCAGATTTGTAGCTTGGTAGTACAATTCCCAATTAGGCAAACCAAATCCTCCTCTAATTCTAGCATCTTGCAAAAGTTTTAACTTTATTCTCGCTTTCTTACCTTGCCATATATATTTCAACACAATTTTATTTAAATCTTCAAAGTAGTCTTTTCCAAGCCTAATTGGAATTGTTTGAAACAAATATAAAATTCTGGGTAATATATTCATCTTGATTATTGAAATTCTCCCTATTAGTGACAGTTGTAAGTTTTCCCATTTCGCCAAATCTAGCGCTATCTGCTGTTAAGTTTAATATAATTATTCTCTTTTAATGTACTACATCTTGCTGTCAAATATATCCCCAAGTACTTGATCTTACTCGTGACTTGAATTTTCAATAGGTCTGCTAGTTCTTCCTTTTGTCTTAATAACATATTCTTTGTCAAAATCTTTGTCTTAGCTTTATTTATTTTCAAACCAGCCACCTTTCCATATGTCTCTATCTTTCCTATCAATTTTGATGCTGTTTCTAGTGGGTTTTCTAAGATAAAAACCAGATCATCCGCAAATGCTTGCAGCTTAAATTCTTCCTTTTTGATTTTCATTCCTTTTATATTCTTTTCATCTCTAATATTTCTGTTTAACACTTCCAAAGTTAACACAAACAACAAAGGTGATAGTGGGCACCCTTGTCTTGTTCCTTTTCTTATATTAATAGAGTCTGTCAGTTCTCCCTCTATCATTACCTTTGCCGTTTGCTTATAGTATATAGCTTCTATTGCTTGAATAAATTTTCTAGCAAAACCCATCTGTTCCAACAGTAATAACATGAATCACCAATTCACATTATCAAATGCCTTCTGTGCATCTAGAAATATCAGAGCCATTTGTTTTTCAGGATGTGCCTCGTAGTATTCCAAGGTGTCCAAGATTCATATTGTCTTTAATTTGTCTCTTTGGCAGAAATCCATTTTGATCAGGATGGATAAAATTATTTAAATATTTTTTAAGTCTTTCTTCCAATATTGAAGCAAAGATTTTGTAATCTGCATTTAGTAGAGAAATGGGTCTATAGTTCTTAGTTTGTAATGGGTCGGCCTCCTCTTTTGGAATAAGTGTAATATAGGCTTCTGACCATGATTTAGGTATCTTCTTCTTTAACATAACTTCATTCATAACTTCTAGCAATGGAAGATTCAACGATTCTTGTAATGTTTTATAAAATTCTGCCAGAAGTCCATCTGGGCCTGGTGCCTTTCCATTATTTTGCTTCTTGAGTGCTTCATCATAGTTATATTGCTTTCTAACATTTTTTCAGTCTCTTTAGGTATCTGAGGTAAATTAGCATTGCAAATTGCTGGTTCAAATATTTCTCAGAAAGTTAAAATTCCTGTGGTGGTATAATTTATATTTCCCCTGCCAGTGATTCAGTTTCTGATTTAAAACTTCTGAGATTAAAGTCCTTGGGTACTTTAAACAAATGTGTGCATCGAGCAAATATTTCTCTTAATTTACATTCTCTGCTGATGAGAAACCTAATTATAAATTTCATCCTCTGAAAACAAGTTTTTTTGGGGTTTTGCTTTAATTCTTCACTCCTTGGTGCTTTCAGCCCAAAATCCTGTGGGCTCCTTTTACAGTGATTAAAAATTAAAACAAGCAGAGGTTGCTTGAAGAATTTATGCCTTTTTTGGTGATTGTACAGTACACATAGTCCTTGACTTCCAACCATTCATTTAGTGACTGTTCAAAGTTACCAACGGCACATAAAAAAACGACTCGATGGTTTTTCACACAATCCTTGGAGCCTCCCCATGGTCACATGATAAAATTCAGATACTTGGCAACTGACTCACATTCAGTGTTCCAGGGTCATGTGATCCCCTTTTGTGACTTTCAGACGAGCAAGGTCAATGGGGAAGCCGGATTCATTGAATAACCGTGTGACTAATTTAACAACTGCAGTGATTTACTTAACAACGGTGGCAAGAAAGGTTGCAAAACTGGGAGCAAAGCTCACTTTAACAAATGTCTTACTTAACAACAGAAGTTTGGGGCTCAATTGTTGTCATAATTAGTTCCAACCGTTGCCTTCCAGACTGAATTCTCTTATCTATCAATGCTGTAAGATAGAAATTTTAGTAAATGGATGCTTTTGATGGGCCGAACTATGGAACACAATAGAGTTTTAGAAAGCAAGTTTGCAAATTTGTTTTATGATGATGACTGAAGTCCTTGTCTGTGCATTCAGCAGGGTGTACCAATAATCTTGCTTCTTGGCTACAGCCATCTTATTCCTTGTGTTGGTTCTTCTGAGGTAAATTTATAAATTGCTAGACTTTCTGGTGCTATGAATTCCAATCTCCAAGAAAGAACAACTCTGTTATTCTTTTAAGAACATTGTTTATCCAAAGATGATAAGGAGAAGCCCTCAATGTCCCCAACTTTTTTTTTTAAAAAAAATCCTTTTTCTACTCTGTATTTGGATCAGAAATTATATACATTCCATAAATATGTGTAAAGGATATTTGAAGGTATAAAATGGTTCCGTGTTCATCTCAGCCCATTCTGGAGAATTTCCTTTCTCAGTTTTTCTCCTGTACTTCTCTCAAAGTTGAACTGGATTTCCTGCCTTGTAGTTTCCATTGTTTCTTGAATGTCTTCAGAAATGATGTTTGTACCTCGGCAGTCTTTGTGACAGTTACGCACAGCTTTTGCCATCAATATATTCTTGTGTTCTTTCTCTGACGATGTTGATATGTAAATAGATGTGAATTATTCCTCAGGTGCCTTGATTTCATTTTTGCTGATTTCTCTGGCTGTGATTTATATGCACAAAAGAGAATAAAGGAGACCAAAAACATGAAAAACAAAAGGAATACATTGACTTTAGATCCATGGAAACCAAATGGGGTTTAGCTAACTGGAATCTATTGCTTTCAATATGCAACTACAGTGGAAGTGTCCATACTAATGTATGTACTCTGTACCATTTATTATATATAGCCTATCAAGAAAGAAATAACAGTATTATGAACTCTGCTTTGGTGGGGGAGGGGGGAGCAAGTTCATTCATATCTTTACACACATGGATTCTGTTTTTTTCCTACCCCGGAAAATAGAGTTAAGATTGCACGTTTCTAAGGATCACAAGCTGATCTCAGGATCTCCACTATATGGACTTACTCAGAGATGGGATTCAGCAGGTTCTGACCAGTTCTGGAGAACCGGTAGCGGAAATTTTGAGTAGTTCGGAGAACCAGCAAATCCCACCTCTGACTGGCCCCGCCCCCACCTATTCTCTGCTTCCCACTGAGTCCCAGCTGATTGGCTGGGTCTTCTTTTGTTGCCCTGCACAGGAGAACGGAGCTGGAAAGCAGGCTACTGGGGTGGGGAGAGGGAATGGGGATTTTGCAGTATCCTTCCCCTGCCATGCCCACCAAGCCACACCCAACAAGCCATGCCACGTCCATCAAGCCATGCCCACAGAACCAGTAGTAAAAAATTTTGAATCCCACCACTGGACTTACTGTCTTTTAATTTAAATTGGCCTGAACCTGGATTAGCCATAAGAGGTTTGGGGAAAGTGAAGAATTCTTTGCTGTTCACTAACCACTAATTCATTGAGTGCCTTAAATAGACACTCCATCAATTGGCAATTAAAACAGACTCAGAAGTGATTTAAATAACTTCTGTAGATACACTCATAAATTGTTCGGTCCCTGTTAGCAGAATCCTTCTCTTTTTGTGTGTTGTGAGGGGTCCTTGGTGCTCTCTGAGGTTGGTTGCTTTCTTGCAGACATTTCATTACCCAAACCAGATAGCATCATCAGTTCATCACTGAAACCTTGGCAAGAAAATAACCAAGCTCATTTCAACTTTCAGCTTCAAATGTTCCCCTTTATTTCTGTGTTGTGTTTGCCTCTCGGCTTGAAGGTAGAAGGTGGCTTCAAATGTAGGAGTTCCACTTATTTTCATAATGCAACACACCAATGTCCTGTTCATACAATGCTACATCAAGGCACTGTGTTAAATAGACCAAGGATCCCCAACCTTTTGGGAACCAGGGACCAGTTCCACGGAGAGAGGTTTTTCCGTGGACCAGAGGGGCCGTGGCTCCGTGTCTTTCCTTCATCCTGCGGATGGGACTTTGGTTGTTCGTGCAGCCTGGTTTGTGGTCAGTGCTAGTCCACTAGACTAGGGGTTGTGGACCCCTGAAATAGACCATTCATGTCAATTAGCAATAGGATTTTAGTTTACAATGGTGAACAATACTTGGCTGGCATGCCCAAGTCTAGTTTTAGATGAATGCCGTCTTTACAATTCCCTTGTCAAATGCCACTGTTAATTCTTGGAGTGATGTCCGTGCCTTATTACAACTCTAGACAGATAAGATAACCTTTATAGTCATTTTTTTTCTCCTCCTGTAGGCACTCTGACACACATTAAAAATGAAATTCTGTTGCCTGCTCTCAAAAGTGTACACATAATACACCCATAGATGTGCTATATACGTACATCCTAACATATAAATACATATAAATATTAATCACTCTCCATCTTGAGTGCATAATGGAAAGAGGAAGTTTGGGAGTTCACAAGGTCGATGCTGCATGGTACAAAAACTGGCTGAATCTGGATGTTCTACTTCAGATATCACGAAACCCCCTCCCAGAAGGTAACAAGGAAAACAGGTCGTGAGGACGATGTGTAGCATCCTAGGCAATCCTGCTCAAGCATCGCTTATGTGCCAGGCCCTGGATAGAAGGGAGTGAACTGCCAGTGATCTTTTCTGCTGTCCTCACCACTCTCTGCCCCTGTCCTCCCTGTCCAAAACAGGAAGGCTTCCAAAGTAGACTGTCCTGCAATATGACAGGATGCTCTCCATTGTCCCTCCATAGCAGGTGTGTCAAACTCAAGGCCTAGAGGCCGGATCCAGCCCGAGGAGTGCTTAGATCTGGTCCATGGGGCTGCCCTGGAAACTGAAGAACCAGACGGCAGTGCCTCTGCCAGCAAAAATGAGTTCAGGAGGGCTGCATGCTCTGTTTTCACTGGCAGAGGGTTGCAGGAGGCTTTCTTAGCTGAAAACAGAGCTCATGAAGGCCACACATGTCTCACCCCCGAGCTCCATTTTCACTGGCAATAGGTTGCAGGAGGGCATCCCAGCCGAAAACAGAGCTTGGGAGCCCGTTTTCACTGGCAAACTGCTTGGGCCACCACAGATGCCTCCAACACGAGTGACGTCAACATGGCCATGCCCATCCTAGCTAGGCCCAACCCCACCCCACCCCCGAGGTCAAACACAAACCTGATGCGGCCCTCAATGAAGTCCCTTCTCTATAGAAAGTGGTGAGGACAGGAGTAGGAAGATGTACTTTAATCATGCAACGCAGAAAATGCGGGCACTGCTATGCCCGTTTCAGCAGTATCTCGCTGTTGAGCAACCAAGCCAGCCTACTTGTTAGCTGCACACCTGGAAATTTGATGCTGCTAACCTGAATCATTCATACACAGAGGAATGTGGCTGTGCCAGCCTTTTCTGAAATCAACAGTGATATCTTTAGTTTAAAACAGATGTCTCCAAACTTGGCAGACTTCTGAACTTCTGAATTTCAACTCCCAGAATTCTCCAGCCAACTCCCAATTCTGGGAGTTGAAGTCCACGAGTCTTAAATTTGCCAAGTTTGGGGACCCCTGGTTTAAAACAAGGCTGGTTTTATTACACCAGTTCATCAAACTCTCTACCTCTTTGTGGTAAGTTCCCTTATTGTCATCTTGAATAAGGCCTACTACTGTTGTATCGTTTCCATACTTCACAATATGCTTGGTGAACAACAGTCGTGGGTCAACAAAGTGAAAAACAGCGGACTTAGAATGCAACTCTAACCTGTCAATCGAAAAGGAAAGCAATACAAGTAGACCCTGATTTACAATTCATTTAGCAACTATTTGAAATTACAACGGCACTACTATTGACCTCACCCCTTTCCTAAGAGGTCTGTAGAGGGCGCGCATAAGTGCACCAACGTGCCTACTGTCCCTGTCCTATTGTTTCTTTTTATTTCTCATCTATCTATCTATCTATCATCTATCTATCTATCTATCATCTATCTATCTATCTATCATCTATCTATCTATCTATCTATCTATCTATCTATCTATCTATCTATCTATCTATCTATCATCTATCTATCTATCTATCTATCTATCTATCTCCATTTCATGTATTCATAACTGTTATACCTGTTATCTTATAATTGCTTGACAAAATAAATAAATAAATGTGACATACAATCGGTACTCACACTTACAACTAGTATCTCCAGAATCACACAAGCCAGGATTTCCAGTCACCTATGTTTGGTAACACATATTGTGGCATCCAAAGATCATTGTTATCACTATTTGCAACCTTCCCAGCCAGCTTCCAACCTATAGGGTCAATGTGGGAAGCCGGATTCACTTAATGACTGCGTGATTCACTTAACAGCTGCAATTAACTGGCAAAAAAGTAAAATCGGGCACCACCCACTTACCTGTTTTGCTTAACAGATATTCTGGTCCCATCTGTGGTCATAAGTTGAGGACTTCCTGTATTGCTGTTTATGGCATTGGAAGACACAGTTGAATATGTATTTTATTAAGTGCTGTAAATGTTTCCTCATCTCCCTCCCCACTTGGAGTTGCATAAAATAAAATGCTTCTAAATGCTGTATTATTCCGGGACTAAAAAGTTCGTTTTTAAAGGGGTGGGAGGGTAAAGAGAAAATAAGTTTTATTCTGATCTGGGCTTAGTTGATGCATTATATATAAATTGGACCATTTCAAAAGAGTTGGGCATGATGTTCAAATATTTGGTAGCTGCTGTAAAATGCAGCTGCGGGAAATAAGTCTTTAAAGTTGCCTCTTGATATGTTTTTGTTTTATTTCCCCCCCTAAATATTACCTCTGCCTGTCAGTCTGCAATTCTGTAAACCTGATAAGAAAACAGTCAACCATTTATAGCAGAAGGGATAGGAATGTGTGTGTTCTGCAGCAGCTTTAAATTGTGTGGACTTCAACTCCCAGAATTCTCTAGCCAGCAGTTCTGGGAATTGTCCAAAATCCAAAACAAGTTAAAGCTGCTGAGGTTGCAAAATACTAGTGTACAGATAGTCCTCGACTTCTGACTGGCTGCAAAAGGTGATCACACCGCCCAGGATACCGCAATCCTCAAATATCAAATTGCCAAGTGTCTGAATTTTGAACATGTGACCATGGAGATGCTACAATATTGTGTGGAAAAAACGTCATAAATCACTTTTTTTCCAGTTGTAACTTCAAGTGGTCACTAAACGAATGGTTGTAAGTCGAGCACCACCTGTATGGGTTTTGCGCAGATTAGAGCAGTTTTGCAAATCATGGCACCCAAACCCTCCCCCAGATTGGCATCCCCAGTCCGCAGTTCCAAGTTTGGCAAAAGGTCAGCCCAGGAATTCCTGCTTGGGGCATTCAGACGAATAATCCCATCTCTCTCGATGTCACTTTTGGAATCCCCCCTGCAGGGACATGCCTGGGCGCCACGGCAGCTACAAAGAACACTACACGTCCCAGGATGCCTAGCGAGTCCCCGCCCTTCATGGCGAGCGGCCGCTGCACGTCGGCGGCCGTAAGTCTGTAGAGATAGGAAAGGGTAGAGGGATTGTTTCTTTCCTTCGGGCGAAAGATAAACTCCATTGCCGTTGAAAAAAAGCCTTGGAGAGGCCCATAGATGTAGTTCGCAAGAAAAATTCCATCAATGAGAGCCTTTGGCTGTTTCTGATAGAATAAAGCTTTTGTTCTAAGCCGGCGTTGAAGACGAAGGGGGAGCTACTCTTCGTTTTTCAAAGTCTACAGAGCACACCTTTCAGCCTATGCGAAGATGGCGGGGGGCGTGGGCCACCGCACAGGGCTTCCCGGCATGCTATGCGTCTGCGCCTGCGCCTGCGGGGACTTCGGTCGTGGCTGAGGGTTGCTGAAGCGGCGGAAATGGAGCGGATGAAAGTGGTCCTCGGGCATCTGACCGGCTCCCCGCAACGGCGGGTCTGGGCGCCTTCCCCTTGCCGGGCCTCGCTGTCCGGCCCGGACGACGTGGTGGTGGTGCACGGACTACGGACCCCCATCGCCAGGAGCAAACGGGGCGGCTTCAAGGTAAACGGCGGGGCGGCTTCCGAGGTGGGGGAGATCCGCCGGCGCTTCCCCCCACCCCCCAACCTGCGCTCTTTTAGACGGGCGCCTGGGACTACAAACCCCATGGTCCCCGGCCTCTCAGCCCCTCCCTGGGAGCGGTAGAAGGGCGCGGACATATATATTGTGGGGGTGGGAGAGACGCTAGTCTTTTTTATTTTTATTTTAGCCCGATCGTTCTCTTGATATGGGAGTTGTAGTCCAGGGGATTATGCCGGGGATTATGGGCTGAAAAGAGTTTGGACGTTATGGGGAGGGGTAAAGAGGAGTTTGCTTTGGAGGATCCAGCGTCCAGTGCTTTATGGACTGCAGTTCCCATCATCCCCACACCAGCACCTGAAAGAGAGTGAGGGTGCCAAATTGCCCAGATAATTAATTAATTAATTAATTTTCTTTCTCTTTCTTTCCTTCGCTCCCTCCTTCCTTCTCTCCATCTTCCTTCCTTCCTTCCTTCTTTCTCTCCCTCCATCGCTTTTCCTTCTTCTCTCCCTCCATTGCTTCCTTCCTTCCTTCTTTCCCTCCCTCCATCACTTTCCCTTCTTCTCTCTCTCCATTGCTTCCTTCCTTCCTTCCTTCCTTCCTTCTTTCCCTCCCTCCATCACTTTCCCTTCTTCTCTCTCTCCATTGCTTCCTTCCTTCCTTCCTTCCTTCCTTCTTTCTCTCCCTCCATCGCTTTCCCTTCTTCTCTCCCTCCATTGCTTCCTTCCTTCCTTCCTTCTTTCTCTCCCTCCCTCGCTTTCCCTTCTTCTCTCCCTCCATTGCTTCCTTCCTTCCTTCCTTCTTTCTCTCCCTCCATCGCTTTCCCTTCTTCTCTCCCTCCATTGCTTCCTTCCTTCCTTCCTTCCTTCCTTCCTTCTTTCTCTCCCTCCATCGCTTTCCCTTCTTCTCTCCCTCCATTGCTTGCTTGCTTCCTTCCTTCCTCACTCCCCCCCCCCTTTCCAGGAAACTACACCAGACGAACTCCTGGCTGCAGTCATGACTGCTGTCCTGAACGATGTCAAGCTAAGCCCCGAGCAGCTGGGCGATATCTGCGTGGGTGAGCCTTTTGGGTTGCAGCCCCTGGTTTCCTTTCTTCTCCTGCTGATGGGTGGTCAAGCTGCCAGGCCAGGGAGTGGGCTGTGGTCACCCTCCCCCTTTTCCTCCCTTTTTTAAAGCAACGGCTGCAAGAGCAGCAGCATATCCGGAAGGGTAACCAAACCCTGACAACCGATGTGAATTCATCTCTTTGTACTTAGGGAATGTACTTCAACCTGGTGCTGGAGCCGCGATGGCGAGAATTGGGCAGTTTATAAGGTGAACTTTGCCACTGAACCATCTAGAAGTGAGATCATGGGCACAAAACACCATGGCGGAGACGAAGGAGGTTTGGTTAATACTGGCGGGTGCAAAGAAAGGTCATGTGACTAGTCCAATTTTATATTAGGCGCTTGTACTCCCTGTTTCTCATTTGCTGTTTTCATTGCATAGCTCAGGGGTATCTAACCTTGGCAACTTTAAGACTTGTGCACTTCAACTCCCAGAAATCCCCACACTGGGAATTCTGGGAGTTGAAGTCCACAAGTCTTAAAGTGGCCAAGATTGAACACCCCTAATGTGGCTGATGGAGGTGAGATTCTGTAGAAGTAAGATCAGCTATTTATTGACTGGTTCATTTTTATCTTGCTTTTATATGAAATTCAAGATGGCGAGCATCTAATACTCTTTATTCCTCCTATTTCTATACAACAGCAGCCCTATGAGGTATGTTGGCCTGAGCTAGATTGATTCTCCCAATTCATCCAGCTGACTTCCATGCCTAAGGCGGGTCGCAAATTAATCTGGTTTTTCAGCCAGCACCTTAACCGGTACACCAAAGCCGCCTTTCTATTTTTTATTTTTTTTTATGATCCTAAAGCAGAGGTCTCCAAACCTGGCAACTTTAAGACTTTTGGACTTCAACTCCCAGAATTCTCCAGCCAGCTTTGCTGGTTATGCTGGCTGGAGAATTCTGGGAGTTGAAGTCCACAAATCTTAAAATTGCCAGGTTTAGGGACCCCTGCCCTAAAGTTTCCTGGGTGCTTTATCACTTGTTTGAGAAGAACACTTGGACTTTGTGCCTGCTGTGGGGATCCAAAGGGTAGCTAGCTGTGCAGACTGACTTGCCATGATGGAATCCACTTTCAGATCCAGTCCTTAGTCACCTGGGCTGTATTTAGAATTTTCCGTCTTGATATTTACCGCATAGTTTTAGAAAGAGTGACAAAGTAACATGTTTGCTGTTGACTCCTTTGCATCTTACAGGTTTCTCTGACAGTTTTCAGTCAGTTACAGGGTACTGCTCTACCTAAGCTTGTTTGAGGATTGCAGAGTGCTGTACCAGGTCCTAGTTGCCCTGTTTTCAGCGGATCTTCCTAAAATCACAAACCAAGACCATCGAGGCATAGGAAAACCTTAAAATTATTCTGCTGAGTCTGAGGGTCTTTTCTAAATCCTCCTTTTATACTGATGAGCTATTTTGTCTTTTATTTCAGTGGTATCCCAGAGACCGTCCCAATATCGAGTGTTAACAGGCAGTGTTCATCTGGGCTGCAAGCTCTAATTAATATTGCTGGTAAGGCTGTGTTCCTCCCGTGTGACGGTCAGGTTCCACGCATGGAGTAAATATAGAATTTCAGTAATTGAACCACGGGGCTTTCCAAACTCTTGATACTATGACAGGTAGAGATTTTAACTTCTAGAATGTAACATTGTAGATTGCCTGTTAAAACTTTCTATAGAGGTAGTTATACTCCTCGTGCCAGTATGTTCTACAGAATTCTAGGAATATTATTTTTTTCTAGGAGAAATTTTATATACTCTTATTCCTTTCTGAAAAAAAACACCATCTAAGTGAGGGAATGTGCTGATTTCCCCCCCCCCCCCCCAGGAGCACTTACAGGAAGGGTATATGTGGAGCTCACTAGCTAATTTAAAATTTATATTACTTACAGGTGGCATTAGAAATGGCTCCTATGATATTGGTTTGGCCTGTGGGTAAGCTTATTTTTTTTCCCATAATTGTTCATTACTTACCAATAGCTGCCCTTTTGTCTTCTGATTACCCCGTTGTGTGAGGTTTTTAAGCAGATTATGAAAATCTGTATTTTGAGGATTTTTGGAGACTAGCGTTTTACAGGAGTATGAGGGCAGCATTGCATTTTGATGCACAATACCAGCCTCAAGGAAATGCCCTTTCCTAATTTGTCTTGGAAATAATTTTAATTTGATTTATAATAACATCCAGTGGTGGTTCATTCAGTTTTGTTTGTGTAACAGCCTTACAGGGTTTTTTAAAAAGCAACTGAGGTGGTGAAGCTAATCACCTTGTAGGTATCCATTTTGTACCGATTGCTTAACTAAAATGAATGAAATACAAACCCTGTATTTTGATACCGTTATTAGAATTAAGTCCCCTGCTTTTTCTGGTATGCAGCTGTTAACTGATACTTTGGGTTAAAAAAAAGATAACATTGTTCTGAGCTGAAGAATCTTCTTGGATGAGAAGTGAAACCTCTTCAAGGAAAAGCAAAGAAAGTCCAGTTGCCTCTTGAAAAAACACTTGGGACAACCATGGGCTGGAGGACTGAGCCTCTCCATGGACATTCCTTAGCTGTGTTACTCCCTGTGCAGCTGTGAGAGTGACCGGTTTTCTCAAGGAAGTTGGGTAAATAATTTCTCAGACAAAAAGAGACTTTACCCTCTGTTGCGCAGTAGCCCTTTTTGTGCCCTTCCGCTGAGGGACAGAGCCATTCTTTTCTTGGCAAAGGGGGCAGCTTCTAAGAAAGGAGCAGTGAAGCCTTGAGGTGAGCTGGGGGTATTTAGCTCTTAAGCCAGGGAGTAAAATAAACCTGTTTCCTCTTGAAGTTCTTCTCACCGTCTCATAGCTGTAGGTGAATGTCAAGGTTAAGGCTTCTTCCACAGCAGCTGGTGCTGGACATAGGATGACAGAGTGCGAGTCTTGGCATCTGCTTTGGTTCAAAATCTTCAGCCAGTGGTCTGGCAAGTTAGCAGTCCATCCCTTGTGCCAGCTCCGTGACGCTGAACTGAAAGGAACAGGTATCTCAGCAAGGCAGAAAAGTGCTTGCGGAAATATAAGAGCCGTTCATTCTTTTCGTAACGATCTCTTGAAGTGCGGCATTTTGCATAAAGGTAAAAGCAAGCGATTTAATCCACTTGGAAGCTAGGCTGGGTTAATCAAATGGCTGTGTTGTTTGGCCTTGCCTCCTGAACTCTCCAAACAAAACAGTTGCTTCACAGGCCTTGTGAAAGTGAGCCCTAAGCCACCTTCCAGTATTTGCACGCTGTATCCGAGCACATCCATGCTGTGGCTAAATAAAATACTGGGATATGACTGCACATGTTGCTTTACATCCTTGATAAGCTCCATGGCCTGGTTTTAATTGTGCAATTGCCTGTGGGCACTGCAAAGCTCGGTTGGTAAATTAATTCCTGGAATAATGTAAGAACAAAGTTGAATCCTCTGTGAAGGCTGAACTGAGCCCCCTGATCTTGTGCAATGCTAAGTTTGCATTGCCACATCCCTGCAATATCTGATGTGGAAAAACACTGACCCCAGATAGACACAAACCTGTGCTAGCTCTTCATGATTGCTGCTATAAAGTATTCGTCAAAGGTCAGAACCCAGAGGTGTATAAACTTGTGGCTGAAATGTTCTGATTTCTGGATGGTTTGTTCCACACACATCAGAAATGGTATAACCTCAAAAACAATCAGTTTCTCTGAGGAAGCTCAGTTGGTGACACCCTGCTTCTTTAGATGCATAAATATTTAAAATTCAACATTACTCAGGGTAGACACACCAACTTTGAAGATAGCAAATCCCCAGTTGTTTTGTTCTCTTGCATGTCTCTGGAACCATCTCAACCACTTTCCGTGAACTTGTGGCTTTAGCTGGTGCCTCACTAGGAGGCACCTAGTAAGGAACGTTTTGAGAACATGTTGGCAAAGAATTTCCATTCCTCTATAATGTCCGAGATCAGTGGCTCTGTGAAAGCTGAGCAAAAGGAACATTTGCAATTGCTTAATGTCTATGGAGATTCACAGCTATCCAGGTCATAGTTGTCCCAAAGGTGTTTTTTTTTCCAAGAGGCAATGGGACCTTTTAAAAGACGTTTCCCTTCTCATCCAAGAAGCTTCTTCGGCTCTGACTGGATGGTGTGGAATGGAAGGATTTATACTCCTTGCAGACAGCTGGTCCTTTGCGTCCTTTTAGAGCAGGGATCCCCAACCTTTTCGACGCCGCGGCCCGGTTCCGGCGTCAGCTGGGCGCCGCGGCCCGGTTCCGGCGTCAGCTGGGCGCCGCCATCTTTTTTTGACGAAAAATCACTTCCGGTGACGTCACCGGAAGTGATTTTTCGTCAAAAAAAATGGCGGCGCCCAGCAACCAGCGGCCCGGTAAGGCTTGTTCCGCGGCCCGGTACCGGTCCGCGGACCGGCGGTTGGGGACCCCTGTTTTAGAGGGTTCCCTTGAGGCCACTTGGAGGTTTATCTGTGTCCTCAGGATCACCTGAAGAGTGCAAATGGGTGTGGACCCTTCTTGGAACAGTTAAAATGATTCGTGTTGTAGACTGGAGATGGATGATGTTGTATACCTTCCCCTCTGTTGAGAGAGAGGGCTGTTCAATTTTGACCTAGATGGCCTCTTGGACCCCTCTTTCAAACCAGCGGTCCTCCCTGCCCAAAGTGCGGACTTTGCTGTCTTCCAAAGAGCGGCCTTTGTCTTTCAAATGCAGATGGACCACTGAATCTTGTCCGGATGGGTTTGTTGCACCACGCTTTTGTGAAGTGGTGGTTTTGTTTCTTGAAAAAGCACCTCTGGGATTTGCAGTTACTTCTTGAATAATAAATATATTAAATTTTGACAGGAGGAGCCATTTCAAGAACACTCACAAATAAATCCATATTCTACGTGTCATACAACAGGGTCTATTTTTTAAATTCCATAACATCACTTGCTGTATGACTTTGAATGCCGTACTGCTACAACTGCTTGAAAATATCTGGTCCAATAGAACGGGTGTAGTCCAGGGTTCTTCCCTTAAATGTTCTTGTCCAGTGAGGTCTGGGGGTGGGGTGGGGGCTTCCCCAATGCAGCCCCTGCCCTTTGAAGTACGCTCCCCCTGAGATCCAGCTGGCCCCTGTTGTCATAGCTCTTCCTTCAACTGCTAGGGTAGGTCACTCTGGAGGAAATACAATTCTCTGGGCTGGAAAGTGGGGCGTGCCTGAGGCCTGGAACCCCCCTGGATCTGGATCTGGTAGTCGAGAGCCAAATTTGGAATCCGCAAATTCCTTGAAATGGTGCTGATAATGAACCTGTCTATGAGTTTGCCAAGAAACAAGTCCAAATGGACTTTCTTCTGGGTACAGGAGTTTTGGAGTTTTAATTAAATATTTTCCAGCAGTCCATGATTCATGTTGATTTACATTTTTGTTGTACAGTAACTTCATGTATTCAGTTCCATAAAAATGCTTACTTATTCATTTGTTTTTTTAAGGAATCCTTGCAGGACTTGCACACAAGTAGTCCTCAGCGACAAGCAAACAAAATGTTAAAAAAAGTTATATTTATGTAGTTGCTTACCAAGCACATCTAAATTATATTAAAGTAACCAAAATATCTTCACAATCCCCAAGGCTTTTGAGCACCCCTCATGTTTGGAAATTGAAAGTTGAAAAATTTGACATGCCCTAACAATAGAGCCCGACATTTTTGTTGCTGAGACAGTTTGCCAAGTGAGTTTTGCCCCCATTTTACGGTCTTTCGTGCTCTTAAGTGAATCCCTGCAGTTGTTTGGTTAGGAACATGGCTGCCAAGCGAATCTGGGTTCCCCGTTGACTTGGCTTGTTAAAAGGTTGCAAAGGAGGATCACTTAACCTCCCCCCCAGGACTTTGCAACCCTCCTAAATAGGAACCAGTTGCCAAGCATCTTAATTTTGATCAGAAGGCCATGCTGCAACGGTTGTAAGTGTTGTAACTTTGAAGAAGTCATTAAACGGGTGGTTGTAAGTCGAGGACTACATTTAAAGGAGAGATATTCACAGCCCCTTTTTCTTGCTTCCCACCCCCCACCCCTCAGAGTGGAAAGCATGTCCCTCCGCAGCGCTACCGACCCTGGGGATGTCAGCTCTCGCATCATGGACTTCAGCAAAGCGAGGGACTGCCTGATACCAATGGGGTAAGAGGCTGCGGCTTTAGTTTATTCCCCGCCAGTAAAAGCTTGGTACAGTCTGGGCTCCCGTGTTGTCTCCTGGGACACAGTTTGGTCGACTGTTTGGCTTTGCGCTGCACACACGCAATTGAATGTTGATTCAGCAACACCACTAGATCTAGCCGCGGCCAGATTAAGTGCCACGATACCAGTTGTTCCTTGTTAAGAATCTGGGAAAGTTGAGTAATGACTGGGTGGGTGTAATACCTCTCAGTTCATTAGTTGCTGGAATATCATCCTGTCACGCCCAGCATTGTTACAAAACAATCCTGCATTATCAAAGCAAAAGTTGCCGTCGTTGTGAAATGATTAACAAATGCACACAATTTTGCCACATTTGAAAAAAATAGGATAAGATGCTTTGATAATTACTAGATGAGCTTAGTGTCTCTTTTTAAGTCCAGGCCTCCATTTTCACCATCTTATTTAGCTACTGAAAAGTTATTTTTTGGAAGATTGTGACATTGCAGTCTTTGAATTAATTTTTGGCGTCTTGTAAGTAAGGACACTTGGGAGACGCATTGTTCCATTCGTTTTTTTGTTTTTTTCTTCTTCATAAAGAGATAAGATGCTTTAGGATCAATGAACTGGTCTGCATGCTTTTAACATTGTTTTTCAGAATAACTTCTGAAAACGTGGCAGAAAGATTTGGTATCTCCCGAGAAAAACAAGATGCTTTCGCCCTTGCTTCTCAACAAAAGTAAGTGAAGAGGGCTGGCTTTTCGCTGTTTTGTGTGCTTTCCCCCACATTTAGGTGGCAAACGCCAGAATCATAAAGATGTACGAGGCCTAAGATTTTTAAGAAGTTCTGGCCACAATTTGGCTGCCCTTCACTGACTTTATAGAGCTGTATATACTTAGAGTATCCATTTTGTTCCTGGAGTCGTTAAGCAAACTTATAATTCGCTGTGATTGTGGTTTTGCCAAAAACAGAAGGGCCAATTTTTAGCAAAGCTGTCATGAAATGACTAGAGGACACGGCAAATGGCTATAAATGCAGCTGCACTACTGAGCTACAAAAATTATATCACGTGACTGTGGAGGGGCCCCACTGTCAGAACTTCAAATCTGATTGAAAGCCCCATTTTGAGGGGTTGGTTGTAACTCCAGATGGCTGTTAAGCGACCGGTCGTAACTTGAGGACTAACCATACTAGGTATCTACCTAGTGCTTTATAGTTGGGAAAGGCGCTGTCAACTAATGAGCTTTTCCAAATTAGCATGGCCTATTCCAACCGCATAGAGTAGTGTTTCCTTGTCAGACTCTTATTGCTTGGACCAGGGATCTCCAATCTTGGCAACTTTAAGACGTGTGTGAACTTCAACTCCCAGAATTCTCCAGCCAGTTTGAAGACCCCTGCTTAGACTATGACTTCACATAGATTTATATGGATCCCCTCCATTTATATATCATTAGTCATTTGGGATTGCAGTTCCCAATTATCCACCAGGCCGGCTAATGGTTTCGCACAGCTTAGTTGGCCTGATGAAGGCAAGGCTCTCAATAGCCTTGTATGTACTATACCTTGTAGTCTGCTGTGATCCGGAGGGTGCAGATGGATTTTTAGTTCTGTTCAGATGTTCACTCCTAGTTGGGTTGGAGAATCCAGCTCTGTTCCATCTTGGAGAAGGATTACACACAATCGCAATCTATCTGGGGCGAGTTTCAGAATTTGCTGAAACTAAGCAGACTCAGTTGCTTATCACAGACTGGGGCCAAGGGTCATTTGAAAGCAAGTAGGATATTTGGTAGGAAGCTGAGCCGTTTTCATTGCTGATTCTAACCCCCAGAGTCAAAGGCCCAAGAAGCCACAAGCACTGGACTGCAAGGGAGCGAGTCTAGGAAAAGGATCAGGAGTCCTAGATAGGGGAATCTCCGAACTTGGCGACTTGAAGACTTGTGGACTTCAGCTCCCAGAATTCCTTATCCAGCCATGCTAGCTGAGGAATTCAGGGAGGTGAAGTCAGCAAGTCTCAAAATGGCCAACTTCGGAGACCCCTGTCCTAGATCACTCACCTGCTTTTAAGCACAGTCCCTTTGTCAAACTTTGTCAGACACAAACATGTTTTTTTTTTAAATTTAGCATTGCATCACTACTAACTTGAGAATATGGTCTCGTTTGTATTTACATAAATAGGGGGTCTGTGCTTCGTGTTATGAACCGTCTTGAACTAGTTGACCGACAAGGTCTCTTCCAACTCTGTTATTCTGCTAAGCATTAGAGCTACACGAATCCTCTTCATTGCTATTAGAAGATACAGGTAGTCCTTGACTTATGACAGCAATGGAGCATGTCTATTACACTACTACGTCATAATAGTTACAAAGCAGTCACCCATGTGTGGCCAACCCAATGTTAACAATCTTTTTTGAAGAAGTTATGCAAACATCATGGTGCATGCTGAACCTATTGTTCACTGTAGGTCAATTTTGTCAAAAATCAGAAGAAAGTGGTCTTATTTTCAGCAAAGATCCGACCCCAGGATGCTGCAGACAGCTGAAAATGCGAGCCAGGCACCCATTGCGCGAGCCCTGTGACTGGAGGGCATCAGAACTTTGAAACTGAATCATAAATAGCCCTGGGGAGGTCCGTCATAACTCTGAGTGGTTGTTAAGGACCCTATCATAAGTTGAGGACTGCTTGTGTCGTATAAGATGAATGACAGTTTGATCTAGGTTGGTGTCGCTTAAGAGCCTTTTTTTCAAGAGAATAGTTTCCAAGAATAATAATAACAACAATGCCCCTTTCCCCTGACTCCTTTCTCTCTAACCTGGCTGAAGATGTTTCTTGTGAAAGTTGTAAAATACATCTAGGCCTCTTATTTAGTAAGGTTCCCCCCCCCCCCCCCTTTGAGTTTTCAAAGATATGAGTTTATAAAGCTAATTATTTGGGTGTGTTTCCAGAGCAACTCGAGCTCAGAAGTTGGGGTGGTTTAAAAATGAGATTGTCCCCGTGAATACCACCTTCACCGACGACCAGGGCACCGAGAAAAAGATCACTGTGCTGCAGGACGAAGGGATCAGGCCCAACACCTCGTTGGAGGGATTGGCCAGGCTGAAGCCGGCCTTCCAGGAGAATGGGACGTCCACAGCTGGTAAGGCTCAGAAGCAAGAGACGAAGGGGAGGGGATTTGACTTTGCGCCATAGAGCCAGTTTGGTTAAGAAACCAGGAGACGGTGAGTTCTAGTGCCACCTTAGGCGTGAAAACCATCAGGGAGACTTTGGCCCAATCTCTGGGAGACGGTGAATTCTAGTGCTGCCTGAGACATGAAACTCCGTGGGTGACTTTGGTCAGTCCCTCTCAAAGATAAAAAATAAATTAAAAAAATAAGTCAGTAAAATATGTGCCAGCTTGCTTTCTCCTAATAGGAACAGATGGGCATTAGAAGGCCTGATTTCAGGTTCCTATTTTGCGACAGAGTTCACATAGTGGACTTCAGGCCATGTCTTGGCATCTCTCAGCCCAGATTATCTCACAGAGCGAGTGGTTGTGAGGGTAAAATAAAGTTTTGTTTTATGCCATCTTCAGCACCTAGAACACAGGCCCTCCAAGGAAACACAAAGCCCCTTGATAGGCTTTAAATACATTTCCCAGGGTTGTTACAAAATTGCTTTGTTCAGGTGAGAAAATGGAAATGTTCTTTCCAGATTATACAATTTTCAGAGTTTGCATTAGACTTAAAACTTAATTTTTTTTTTGACAATCCTCTTTATGTGTGAGAGTGATTTTCATTGTAGGAATATTTTCTGTCGTTGGTTCCTGGATGACGATAATGTAAATAAACTCAGTTGTGCTGTTCTATCCGTTTGCCTGCATCTCATAACTTGAGTCTTTATGAAACGGCTCCCTTCAGGTAACTCCAGCCAAGTGAGCGACGGGGCTGCTGCGGTGCTCCTGGCCAGGCGTTCTGCAGCTGTGCAGCTGGGCCTTCCTGTCCTTGGGGTGCTGAAATCATTCGCTGTGGTTGGAGTCCCACCAGATGTGATGGGCGTAGGGCCGGCCTATGCCATCCCTGTGGCACTGAAAAAAGCCGGTGAGGAGGCATAATCGGAGAGGGGCGGCCAGCAATCCGCACAGCTAACCCAGTATCTCTCTTTTGGGTGGAATGGCTCCGGACTCCATTCTCCTTCAATCTCTTGCGCTATTGGCTCATGGTGGCCCCTTCAGGGAGTGGGAAGTCTTCCTAGAATGATTTTTAGGGCCAACTAGGGGGGTCTTTGGGGCAGAAGAGCATCAAAACCCCCTGGTGTGGCCCCTATGACAACGCTAATAATAACACCCCTGAAAGAGGTAGGTTTTACGCTGTTAAAATTGTGTCCATCTCTAACCTACAGGTTTGACAGTGAACGATATCGATGTGTTTGAAATCAACGAGGCCTTTGCGAGTCAGGTAAGACTTTTGAAGGAGAGGTTGAAATGAAGACGCCATAAAAAGAATACGTTCCCAACTGTGGAGGTTAGCAAGAGATTTCAGCCACCCTGGACTCTCTGCCTTCTTTCATCATCCACGTCAGGCAGGCAGCATTTGGGAAGGAGGCTCTGAGGACATTGGCCAGCTCCGTAAATGCCACGTTTCACCAAGCCATGTTTGTCTTAACCCTGCCCACGTTTTGGGGGAGTATGGCCACTGAAGTCTCCAGTACGGGTAGCCCTCGACTTAACAATAGTTCATTTAGTGACCGTTACAATGGTGCTGAAAAAAAGTGACTCACAACTATTTTTCACACTTAATGACTGTTGCAGAATCCCCTGGTCAAGCAATCAAAATTCAGGTGCTTGGTAACTGGCTCATATTTATGACCCTTGCTGTGTCCTGGGGTCACGTGATCCCCTTTTTGCGACTTTCTGACAAGCGAAGTCAATAGGGGAAGCAAGGTTCACTTAACAACTGGGTTACTAACTGATCAACTGCAGTGATTCACTTAACAGCGGAGGCAAGAAAGGTCATAAAATGGGGCAAAACTTAACAAATGTCTCACTTAGCAACATAAATGTTAGCCCCAATTTGTGGTCGTAAGTAGAGGACTAGCTGTATATGTCCCTCCTACCCAAAATGGTAGAAGTTACTTAAGTTACTTCCAACGACTTATGACTGCATTGCTTAGCGACTGTTCAAAGTTATGACAGACCACCCGCTCCAAAGGTACTAAGAAGCCAGATTTGAAGCTTCAACAGCTGTGTGTTTTTCTCCCTCCCCCTTGTGGGCATGTGACCACACTTGGATGCTCAACAACCAGGACACATTGACAGTCGTTGGTAGCATCCCACAATCACATGACTGCATTTATGGCAAATTTTTTTGCTGGAAACCACTCTTTACTTCCAGTTTCTGCAAAAAAAAAAAAAAAAAAAAGACGCCCACTGCAGCAGTCAATCGGTTCACTTAATGACAAGTGTTTGTTTAACAACTGGAGCATTCACTTAACAACTGCCTCAGAATGTGTCATAAAATAACGTTGGGCTCATGGATAACTTGACTTAACAACTGTCACCACAGACGATAGAAATTCTGGATTGCAACCGTTACATGGTTGTAAGTTAAGAACTATCTGTATTTTGTTGCGTGTGACATCTGTGAACCTAAACACACCTCCAGCTGCTCGTCAGTCCCGTTCTTTCTTTTCCCTTCTGCATTTTAATAGCAGAGTGTCCAATTTTTTCCCCCTAATCTCCCTCACATTGCAGTGTGGCAGATACAGGCCAGCTTATTTAAGACATTTTCAACAGATGAGAGTTTCACTACAGGTAGTCCTCAACTTGCAACCACAACTGAGCCCCCAAATTTCTGCTGTTAAGACCTTTGTTAAGTGAGCGTTTCCCCATTTTACAACTTCTTTTGCCACAGTTAAGTGAGTCCCTGCAGTTGATAACTTAGTAACCCGGCTGTTAAGTGAAACTGGTTCCCCCCATTGACTTTGCTTGTCAGAAGGTCGCAAAAGGGGATCATGTGACCCCAGGACACAGGAAAGGTCATAAGTATGAGTCAGCTGCCAAACATCTGAATTTTGATTTTGGGGATACTGCAAAGATCGAAATATGAAAACGGTCATAAGTCCTATTTTTGGTGCCGTTGTAACTTTGAACGGTCACTAAATGAACTCTTATAAACCGAGGATTGCCTGCACTTTTGGTCTCCGTAAACGTACATTGATCCACGGATGGGCAGAGATAAGAGTTGTTACCAAACGTGACAACTCAAAAGAAAAAAACGGAAAGAGTTAACCACGAGGTCGCTTATTCCAGCTGCTTGTGCCAACTGAAGTGAAATCGGTTCCTTGAAACGCCTTTGATCGTCTCGTTTCTCCAGGCGGTCTACTGTGTGGAGAAACTTGGTATCCCCATGGAGAAAGTGAACCCACTCGGGGGTGCCATTGCTTTGGGACATCCTCTGGGGTGCACCGGGGCTCGGCAAGTTGTCACTTTGCTTAACGAGCTGAAGCGCAGAGGGAAGAGGTGAGTAGTGTGGAAAGCATGAACTACGCCCCGAGTGCGTGTCTCGCGCTGGTTGGCTTTGAAAGGGTGCCACCAAGGAATTTCTCAGCCTGTTCGGGAGGTCGGACCAGGTAAAACCAGATCTCCTGCAAGTTCTAACTTGCGTAAACGAAAGCGAGAAGATGCCTTAAATTTTATTGTTGCTTTAAATTTTATTGCTGTTGAGACTGAGGTTTAGCTTTTTATTTGTGCGTTTTTTATGTCCCACCTTTATTATATTTATAAATAATTTGAAGCAGTAAACATATTCCATACTCTTTCCTCCTCCTATTTCCTCCACAATAATCCTATAAGTTGGGTTGGGCTGAGAGACATTGACTGGCACAAAGTCATCCAGCCAGCTTCCATGCCTGAGGCAGAAGTCACCGCCTCCTGGTGATTGGCCCAAAGTCTCCCAGTTGGCTTTCATGGCTAAGGTGGGACTAGAACTCACCGCCTCCTGGTGATTGGCCCAAAGTCTCCCAGTTGGCTTTCATGCCTAAGGTGGGACTAGAACTCTCCATCTCCTGGTGATTGGCCCAAAGTCATCCAGCTGGTTTTCATGCCTAAGGTGGGACTAGAACTCTCCATCTCCTGGTGATTGGCCCAAAGTCATCCAGCCGGCTTTCATGCCTAAGGTGGGACTAGAACTCACCGTCTCCTGGCTTCTAGGCTTGCACCTTCATGACTTGCACCAAACGGGCTCTTTCTTTAGCCAGTAATTCTCTGTCGTAAGGTCTTTTCTCTCCCCAAACACCTTTGTGTCTTCCAAACTCCTGGTCCCTGAAAACCCTCCGGCTAGGGAGCTGAGCCCTAATGTGCCTCGTTCTTGTTTCAGAGGCTATGGCGTGGTTTCAATGTGCATTGGGACCGGGATGGGAGCAGCTGCGGTATTTGAATATCCGGGAAAGTGAGCAGAACTGAAACGCTCTTCACACAACCTGCCCTCCAGGCCTGGAAAATAACCTGTGGATCCGTTCTGATGGGCGGTCCGGCTTTTTTGACTGTTTAGAGGTGAACCCTCCTCAGTGGGCAGAGCTTTTGAAATCCCGAGCCATGGGAAATGAATTTGGGAATGGGGGGGTAGCAAGGACCATTGGCTGCTGGGTCTTTAGGTAAACCTATTAAAAACAGGTCCTTTTTCTATGAATTAATCACTGGGGGCGGGGTGAGGGGGTCTACCTGTCCAATGGAGGTGGGTTGGGGCTGGCAGAGGGAAAGAGGGGTACCTGAGGAACTTGACTGATCAGCAGTCTGAAACAGATTGCCTTGTCTGCAGTGCTGGGATTAATGTGCAATTGGAACAAGGTGTTTTTCTCCTCCCACAAGAATCCTTACTCCAATGAGTAAATTCCCTAAAGTAGCCAGTGTACTGCTTTTGGATGGGGGGGAGAGTAATGATTATTAGAATCACGTAGAAAATGGGGTGCCGGTGCATTTGGAAACAATAAAAAAAAAATCATAGCACAGCATTTATGATTGCTTCTGAGGTCCATTTTCAAAGTTTTCTAGGAACTCATAAGCAGCTATTGCTGGCTTGGTTTCTCTTTTTTTTTCCCTTTTGTTAAGGTAATTTTAGTTTATCCCGCATTATTTTTGAAGATGAACTGGGACCAGATACGTGTTTTTTTTTTTAAAAAAGAAAATATTACTGTTACCATGAACAGGAGGAAAATGTATTTTCAAATCCTTAAAAGGAAAAGCAGCAAAATAAGCAAGTTAAGGAATCTCATGATTCAGCTGCTGGTCCTAGCAAGAAATAGCTCATAATTGCTTTGCTGGTGTTCTAAGGAGCTAAACCAATTCTTAAAAGGTGTTTTAATCAACTAATTAAATTTCTGTTAACAAGTTGAATTACATTAATAAAGTCTTCGAAGGGTTCTGTCTCATTTAATTCCTGGAAAGCCAATTTTTCTAACATAGAATGATAGTGGGCACCAAGTTAGATGTTAAAGGTGGTCCTTAGACTACTAGAGATCTCCAGAATCCCTTCCGCCTCTGTTACTTTGTTATTCTGAATCTACTTAAATAATAAAAAGAAAGCTTAGGTTAACTCCAAAAATAAGCCAAGCTGTTTTTGTTCAGTTTTAGCTTGGTGTGTTGTATGAAATTCACCCATAAGCCTGGTTGATGACTGAATTTGTTAAGCCAAAGCAGAATTTGTGATTAATGCAGTCCTTGACTTAAGACTGGTTGCATAGCATCATGTGCTGACTTGACTGCCTTTTACAATGGTTTGGCTGAAAAGCAGCACTTGCAGTTTTCAGCAAAACTGTGCTATAGCAAGCAATGGTTTCACTTCATGTCAACCACACACAAAAATTATAAAGTTGGATTGGTCATACGACTGACCCATTTAATGACCGTTACAATTGTAGTGACCAGGCTCCATTACAGGCATAATTTGAAGACTGTTAGGAAGTTTCTCCTTAATTCAAGGAAAGAAGCAACCTAAAACTAAGGAGGAACTTCCTGACAGCGAAGACAATTTACCAGTGGAACAAAAGTTGCCTTCAGAGGTTGTGGGTGCTTCATCACTGGAGGTCTTAGAGACTGGACAGCCACCTGTCTGAAATAGTATAGGGCCATGGTGGTGAATCTATAGTATGACCTTTCTCTGTGGGCATGTGCGCAGTCACCCCAGCTCAGCTCCACCATGCATGCACACGCGCCTCCTGACGGCCTTCGGGTCTGCTGTGCACAGGGGTGTGTGCATGTGTGTGTGGGGGACCTTGCATTTTGGGCATGCATGCTTCGGGTACTCGGGGTCCAAAAGATTCGCCATCACTGGTACAGGGTCTCCTGCTTGTGCAGTGGGTTGGACTAGAAGACCTGCAAGGTCCCTTACAACTCTATCCTCCCTGACTACTTGTAAACACCAGTTAAGGAATCAATACAGTAGCACATTATGTGAAAGTAGTTTATTAACTGGTTGAGTATCTCAAGGGCCTCCAGGATGGGCAGGGTATCATTAGGGCTGCCCTATGGCAAAGATCGCCTGGTGAAAATACAGCTCTGGTTTGGCCACACACGAGGCTAAAACATATGACAGGAACTGGGTACGTCCAGTCTAAGGAAAAGAAGGACTAGGGGCAATACGACAGCAGTGTCCCAATATTTGAGGGGCTCCTACAAAGATAAGGGGGGTCAAACTGTTTTCCAAAGCACCAATAGGCAAGATAAGAAACAATGGTTGGAAACTAACCAAGGAGAGCTAACCTGGAACTAAGGAGACGTTTCCTGACCATCAGTGGAACAACTTGTGGGGGCTCCAACACTGGAGGTTTTCAAGAAGAGATCGGACGTGGAGGTATAGGGTCTCCTGCTTGAGCAGAGGGTTGGACTAGAAGACCTCCGAGGTCCCTTCCAACTCTATTACGTTCTATGCAGATGCAAGATCCTTATTTGAGAAGTCAAGCTTGCACCCAAGCTAAGGATATAGAAATATTTTATTTTCCTCTAGTATTACAAAAAAACAAACAAAAAACACCAGTTACCATTAAGCTGCTTGCAAGAAGGCCCCCGGTGGGGCTTGTTCTTCAGGTGCCCGTGAGCAGGTCTTCATACCTCTCATTGTAGGAGCCCTTTCCTTGGACAAGCAGCAGGCACGGCTTCTCTCCCAGCATGCCAACAACCGTCACCGTAGTTTCATAGGCCAAACTGTCTCTGAAAGGAGAGCGTGGTTCAGAAGTGAGCCCTCCTCCCTTTGACAGAAACACCACGGAAGGGCCTCTCCTCCTTGTCCCTGGAGACTCGCCACGGAACAACTCGCTGCAGGACAAGAGTTACACTAATGTCGAAGAAATCGGCCAAACAGAATCAATCAATAAAGGATGCCAAAGGAGGGACAAAATAAAAATGTGAATGACAAACATTAAAATGATTTTTTTTTAACATTATTTTAAGTAATTAAATCGTTGAATTGTCCTGTAACGAGTTATCCGAGGCAAGTTGGCCATGGTGAGTTGGCCAAGGCAAATTGTCCCATTCCAGTTGAGTTGGCCTGCTGCCCCTTCATCCACCCTTCCCAGTCGAAGCCAAGTGAAGGGTCTGCATATACAGGGAGTCCTTATGGTCACGATTGAACCCGGCATTTCTGTTGCTAAGTAAGACATTGGTTAAGTGAGTTTTCCCCCATTTCAATGGTCTTTCTTGCCACAGTTAATATAACACAGCCATTAAGCGAATCTGGCTTCTCCATTGACTTAGTCAGAAAGATGCAAAATGTCACGTTTTTTTTCAGTGCAGTTGTATCTTTCAATGGTAAGTAAATGAATCGTTAAGTCGAGGACCACTTATATAGGCAGTGAAAAAAACTACCATTTTCATGAGCTATATGCTGCAGAAGGAGACATTAAGAAAACATCTTGAGTTCTACCTGCCCCAAAATGTTCTAGAACAGGCCCCAGGCAACCTGCCTGGTTTGAGAACTTGACTCACTAATTGTCCTAGAGTCGAGAGGAATATCTGGGACCATCAAGTCTAACTCGGTGCAAAATCCAAGAATATGACCCTCTCCATGGTGAGTGAGAAAACCCCCACTCTCCAGTGGCAATTTCAGTGTCATCAGAACACAACAGCAGCAGGAGAGGAGAGAAAAAAAGAACAGTTGGAAGGGACCTTGGAGGTCTTCTAGTCTGGCCCCCTGCTCAGGCAGGAGACCCTATCCCATTTCAGACATCAGAAGTGGTGAGACTGAAATGTAACGTTTTCCCCACCCCGCCCAAGAGTTTTTAAATGGGAATGGGAGCGATATGGCTTTGGAAAGCAAAAACATTTTCCATTCCCCCATGAAAATTCCCCAAGCGATGCCATTTTGAAGCTTGGGAAATTTCAAAAGCAGGGGAAAAAATGTCCTTCCCGCCTTATTTTCGTGAGGTGGTAGTAAGCCCATGTTGTACCAAAATCATTTCCGCCACCAAATTTCCATGGTGCGGTACACAATTGTGTTTCCCTAATGGACAACTATCAAGGATAATGCAGTTATCATCCCTGGGCAAGATCAGGTAGGTCTTGCCTGGGGGCTCGGGACAACATGCAGAAGAACCACGAGGGGCTTCTCCTGACCTACCTCGGGGTGAAACGGACCATCAGTTGGGTTTTGGTAGCCGTGCTACCTTTGCGCGCCTCAAGGATACCACTACTTGGAGAGATGGAAAACACTTCAGGATCTTTATGTCGTTCATCTTCATCTTTAAAATGAAATAAAAAAATGATGCTTAAAAGTTTTAGCAGATATTCGTAAAAGGAAGATAATCATCTTCGACTAATCCACGGCTGCTGCTAAGAATATTCATTTGTTTTTTATTAATTTATGAGTAACTTAGGGTGGCAAACATAGGTAATACTCCTTTTTCTTTATCCCTTTTTCCCCCAATAGCAATCCTGTGAGGTGGATTGGGCTGAGCTGTGAGAGAGCCCAAGGTTACCCAAATGGCTTTTGTGCCTAAGGCAGCACTAAAATTCACCACCTCCTGGCCTCTAGGCCAGCATCTTCACCACTTCTCCAAACTAGATCAAATTTTAGTTGAAACTGCTGGTGATCTACTTGTTTTTTTAGGAGCCTTTGAGTCAGTCTTGACTTCTAAAAACTACATATATAAATCCCTGCAGGCTTTAGCAACCGTGTTGGAAACAATTCCCTTGTTTCTAGGACAAAAAACTAGTTTTTTTCTAGAAAAATTCCTGGTGACCTTCTACCGCTGCACCAGAGAGTATCTTAACATACTGCACCTGTGTCTGGTTTGCCAGTTGCACAGTGGCAGATAGGAAAGCTCTCCAGAGGGTGAATGTCATTGCCCATAGGATCATTGGTTGTCCTCTCCCCTCTTTGGAAGAGCTTTATAGCTCCCACTGCCTTAAGGAAGTTCAAAACATTCTCAAAGATCCATCTCATCCCGGGAACCCTTTTTAACTATTACCATCTGGCAGACGGTACAGGATAATAAAAACAAGGACAAATAGGCTGAAAAACAGCTTCTATCCCAGGGCAGTAGCTCTGTTGAATTCTACTGTATAGTGCAATATTAATTCAGTATCAGGGGTTTTCAATTCAATTTATAGAATGTGAAGAATGTGTGTTTGTGTTTATTTTCAGTCATAATGTACACTGAAGTTGGTGTTTGATTTCATTGTACGAGGTGCAATGACAATAAAGTAAACTAAACTGAGATTTGGTTCCAACTCACCCGCCTTTATGACTAAAGCAGTGGTAGAACTCAACAGGTTTCTGATTTCTAGCCCAATGTTTTTAACTACTACACCATGCTTTATATTTATATTACAGATTTATTCTATCGATATCACCTACAACTACAAGCTATCTCTATCTCTTTATCATCTCTACCTATCTCTATTGTCTCTCTCTCTCATCTCATCTATCTATTCTCTATATTTATCTATATCTATCATCTATCTATATCTAACTATCTAAAAATAACTCAAAGTCATAAATATTTTTTGTATCCAAATGCAGATAATTTCTTTGATACTGATTCTAGACCATCTCTTATTTCAGAATTTGCATGTGTGTGTGTGTGTGTGTGATTTAAGAGAAGGTTCTCCCCATAAGAAACTGCATCAGTACAAGGAAAATCATTTCGACCACATTTCTCTTACGCAAGAAAGCTGCCCAGTAGCTTCTGCATCCACTGCGGTTCACCAGAAGTGCCACTTCAGACCTCATTTGGTTGACCAGGCAGGTTTTAAAATCAATCGTTTTGCAAGAAAGCTCAAGTACTGGGATAGTCAGGTATGCGGTCAGGGGGAGCACCTGCAACAAGATCAAGTGCCAGAGCGTTTGAGGGGACCATGAAAAATATTCTGAGAAGAAGGCTAAGGTCTTCACGGGCTGTCCTTTGTGGGACGGAAAAAGAAATGTTTTAGTAAGTATCTGTGGCGGGATTCGGGTGTGAACTTTGTGGGCAAAGGCATCTGGAAGAAACCATCAAGGGCATGGTCATCATGTATATTGTGACATCATCACACCGCATCCCCAATTAAATGAAAAAAGTCTCTGAAAACATGGCTGTCCTTCCAGGCCTTGGTGGCAGATGGTAGCTGAGCTCTAGAGGATGCGGATTCCCACAGTTCTCCAGCCAGCCTTCTGGAAGTTGAAGACCACAGGTTTGAAAGTTGCCAAGGTTTGAGAAACACTGTTCTAAGAATACCTAAAATCTGTTTTTCATCTTTTACTCTTTCTACGTTTTTAAAGTATAAGCCAACCAGAATTGTTTGGAATAAGGTAGACTTTAAATTGTATTTTTAAAAAAAACCAACTAACAAATGGATATTTTGCTTCACTTGAACATATGCATTATGTGCCATAATTTCACATGAGCATTAGGATGCATATGTCATCACTTGATACACACTCCAGCAGCTGGTTTTGTTTTAGCGTAAACCACTTCTTGCATCTGATAAATGAACGTTACACTTCACAAAGCTTAAACCTTTTAATAAAATGTGTTAGTTGGAAGAGAGTTATTAGTCTCTGCTTCAAGCAAATCAGATGAATGGCAGCAATATCGGAAACCAAGGTAAGATGCAGGAACTATTTTCTAAAAATATAGCTTTGGCAAAATCCATCCAACCCAAATGCTTTGCAAAACCCAGTCTAACGATGTACAATGGCCTCCATAATAGATATCCTCTTCTTTCATAGTTCAGTAAGCAATATTCTATATCAGCCGTTTAATATTGAATATTTATTACCTTTGTTACCAGCAGTTTTTTTGATAGATGCAAGAAACGTAATTAAACTGATGACATTTTGATTTTTAAAAAAAGGAGAAGGGAGAAAATTCAGATTCAGCTGTTCGGTGCTGAGCAAAGTCTCAGCTCCGGATATGCCAAGGAAAATTGATTTATGAAAGGCTATGGAGGAGCTGCAATGGTTTAATAGCCCATTCTGATAGAGATTAGAGATCCCGTTCAAGCCTTCCAAATTCCCATGGGTGATAGCAATAGCAATATCTTAGAATTATATACCACTTCACAGTGCTTTATATCCCTCTCTAAAAGGTTTACAGAGTCAGCATATTGTCCCCAACAATCTGAGTCCTCGTTTTACCAGCCTTGGAAGGATGGAAGGCTGAGTCAACCTTGAGCCAGTCGGGATCGAACTCCTGCGGTGGGCAGAGTCAGCCTACAATACCGCATTCGTTACCACTTCACCCCCAGGGCTCTAAAGCTGTGCAAGAAAGTAAAAGAATTACGGGATTCACCCCCAAGGAGTACTGTATGTCCTCTGTTGAATTTGTCATCTGCATGAACTTGGACGAATAAAAATGGCAGCTCCTATTTTCCCCACTTCTGCTTACCTGCGTGGCTTTGTTGCTGTACTCGATGATAAGATCTTGTTTAAACTCCAAGATTTTATCCCCGCTATCTTGCTGGATCACTTGAAGCCCTGATGGCTGAAGATCCTCTGGGAGATGTTGGTAGGTGAGTAACTCAAGAGTTGTGATAAATGACACCTTCACCTATGAACAACCAGATGTCAGGTTGGCTAAGAGTTGAAGAAACAGGCAACTGGATTATAGTCCTTGACTTACAACCACAACTGAGCCTGAAATTTTTATTGCTAAACAAGACATTGGTTAATTGAATTTTGCTCCATTTTACGACCTTTCTTGCCACAGTGGTTAAGTGAATCACTGCAACTGTTAAGTTAGTAACAGGGTAGTTAAGTGACTCAGACTTCCCCATTGGCTTTGCTTCAGAAGGTCACAAAAGGGGATTGCATGACCCCTCCCCCAGGGACACTGCAACTGTCATAAATACGAGTCAGTTGCCAAGCGCCTGAATTTTGATCACATGACCATGGGGAGGCTGAAATAGGCATAAATATGAAAAATAGTCATGTTACTTTTTCAGTGCCGTTGTAAATTAGAACAGTCATTAAATGAACTGTTGCAAGTTCAGAACTGCCTGTATTGCTGATTTAGCCAGTTTCAATAACTGTACTGTGCAAACAGACTATGTACTTAGGCACAAGCATGTTTTCCAGGCAGATCCTTTGACTAGAAAAGCTCCTGTCTGACTCCTTGAAGGGTCTAAGCTTTCCTTCAAGCTGGAGAGAAAAACAAACCATAGCCCACAAAAGATGTGCGGAGCCGTTTGAGGAGCACTACAAATCTCTCTCTCTCAGATCAATTCCTTCTAAATTTAAACTCAATTTATTTATTTAAATCAATCAATCAATCAATCAGAATAGATCTGGAAGGGACCCTGAAGGTCGTCTAATCCAACCCCTCCACATGAATGCCTGTCCAGACTCTTCTTACAAGCCTCTAGTGTTGGAGCACCCACAACTTCTAGTGGCAAGCTGTTCCAAAGGTTAATTGTTCTCACTGTCAGAAAGCTTCTCCTTAGTTCTAAGTTGCTTCTCTCCTTGATTAGTTTCCACCCCTTGCTTCTTGTCCTGCCCTCAGCTGCTTTGGAGAATAGCTTGACTCCCTCTTCTTTGGGGCAGCCCCTGAGATATTGGAAGACTGCTATCATGTCACCCCTGGTCCTCTTCACTGACTAGCCAAACTCAAATCCTGCAACCATTCATTTGTTTTAGTCTCCAGGTCTTTAATCATTCTAGTTGTTCTTTTCTGTACTTTTTCCAGAGTCCCAACATCTTATTTATAATATGGTGACCAATATTCCAGGTGTGGCCTTACTAAGGCTTTATAAAGCAATACTAATACTGATTTTGATTCTATGCCTCTGTTTATACAACCAAGGACTGTGTTAGCTTTTTTGGCTGCTACCGCACACAGCTGGCTCATACTTAGGTTCACCTGGATCTAACCCACTCCGATCCTGAGCTGCCCAATGTCCCTTGAACAAGACCGTACCAATATATTTTCTAACGTGTAGAGCAGCAGGTGTGCTCCTCCTTCATCTCTTTCACTCTGAGATGTTTTCAGGCTCTTCGCAGGGTCCACGCTGGATATGGAGAAGGGAGTGGATAAAATAAGACTGAATGCCAGAGGGGTCTCTGTGTTATTGGCGAGTTTCACGTTCAGGGTGGTGGCTGAGTAGGTCAGTACCTAAAGGAGAAAACATACAGAATCTGTTTACATCAGTGCATTTCAAACATGCGATTTCTAAGACAGGCATCCTTCCTTCTTCACCTGGCCCCCTTGTAGGACTTCCAATACCCCCCAAGTACCCCAAATTAAAAGCTGGGGTGGTGCAGTGGAATGCTGCACTGCAGACTACTTCTGCTGACTTCCGACTGCCAGCAGTTTGGCAGTTCGATTCTCATCGGCTCAAGGTTGACTCTGCCTTCCAACCTTCTGAGGTCAGTTAAGTGAGGACCCAGATTGTTGGGTGATTCTGTGAACCGCCTAGAGAGAGGGCTGTAAAGCACTGTGAAGCAGTATAGAAGTATAAGTGCTATTGCTATTGCTACTGAGATTTGGCAGCTACAGGTAATCCTCAACTTACAACCATTTGTTTAGTGATTGTTTGAAGTTACAATGGCACTGAAAAAAAGCGACTGAAGACATTTTTCACATGACCATTGCGGTGTCCCTGTTATTACATCATCAAAATTCTGGCAACTGGCTCATACTTATGATAGTTGCAGTGTCTTGGGGTCACGTGATGTCCTTTTGGGGCCTTCTGACAAGCAATGGGGAAGCCAGATTCACTTAACAATCATGTAACTAACTTAACAATTACAGTGATTCACTTAACAACTGTGGCAAGAAAGGCCGTAAGAGGGGGGGGGGACTCATTTAACAAGTATTTTTGTTTAGCAACAGAAATGTTGGGCTCAATTGTAGTCATAAGTCAAGGACTAACTCTTACTTGGATACAGGTAGAAAGCTCATATGGTAGAAAACCTTCTTGCAGTATCACAATGAGCAGGCTAACATTAAAAAAAACTGTAAATTTTTTATTTTACTGTAAAAGTTATTGGAATTTCTAAACTAATTTGTACCTGAGACGGCATCATACTGGGAAACACGGGGGTGGGGGGGGGGGGAGATAACCAGGCTGGGGTCTGAGACGGTTGTTAAGTGAGTTTCCCCCCCATTTTACAACCTCCCTTACCAACTTTGAACAGTCACTAAACGAATGGTTGTACGTCAAGAACCACCTGTACAGAAACCTTTTCTGGCTACTGCTGGTGAAGGGAAGCTCAACAGGTTTTCCCGACACCCTCTAGGTCTTCAGTTATTATTTTATGGCTAATGTGTTGTGAACAATTAACTGATTTTAGGAACAAATCAACGTTGTTCCACATAGAATAGTGGCCTCGGGTTCACTTACAAAGTCCCGTCTATCTCCCTTCCAACTATTCTTGGACAGAACTGGGTGTGCCTGTTCCAAAAAACTGTTTTGTTTTTTTTCAAAAAAACAAAAATGCTAAGAAAATTATATATTTTCTCCTCCACAAAATGCAAGCATTTTGGCAATTTCAGAAGCAGAAAACCACAGCTTACATCCTTGGCAACAGGTTTTGGAATTAAACTGCTGGCCGCTGCATGGAACACCAAACCTTTCTCATAATCCGTTTCAACTGTCAACCTGCAGGAAGAAAACAGAACATTGTGACTTAGGAGAACAAAGAGAGCAAATAGAACTTAATAGAACTTAAACATTGAAGAACAATCTTCCAAATTCCAGAAAGTGACGAAAAAAGAGAAAATAAAATGGAAATCGCGCACCAATACAGAGAATGGTAGAGGTGGAAAGAATCCCAAGGAACATCTAGGCCAGTGATGGCTAACCTTTTTGTGCGCCTTCCCCCCCCACCATGCATGCGCCCCCCCCCTTGATCCCCTGCACATGTATGCGTGGACCCTCCGCAATTCAATCACTCATGAGAAACGATCCAGCCTCTTCCTTAAAAACCTCCAGAGATGGAAAAACCTGAACCTCTAGAGGTAGACTGTTCTACTATGTCTTGCTGGCAGAAAATTACACTTTCCACTGAAACAGAATCTAAGTTCTGCAGTTTATATCCATTATTTCTGGTCCTAGTTTCCACGGCTATGGATATAGTTCAAGGCCACCATCTCGGTGTCTTCTCTTTATGGATCGGAAACATACAATATCTTGTCTCCTCTTTATCTTATTTTGTCCAGCTTGAACATCCCCAGGTGTCCTTCATGGGCCAGGTCCTCTCTTTCCCTAAGGTAACAGATAATCAGAGCTGGAAGGGACCTTGTAGGTCATCTAGTCCAACCCCCCGCCCAAGTGGGAGACCCTACACCATTTCTGACAAATGACAGTCCAATCTCTTCTTGAAAGTCTCAAGTCATCCTTGTCATCCCTGTGTCATCCTTTGTTTGCCCTCCTCTGTACCTGCTCTAATTTGACTATAATATTGTGAAAATGGGATGCCCAGAATCATGAGAGTATACAGGCAGTCCTCGACTTACAGCAGTTCATTTAGTGACCATTTAAAGTTACAAATGACACTGAAAAAAGTGACAATCTTTCACACTTATGACCTTTGCAGCATCACCATGGTCACGAGATTCAAAATGCAGGCGCTTGGCAACTGATTCGTATTTATGATGGTTGCAAGGTCCTCCTGGGATCGTGTGGTCCCCTTTTGCGACCTAAGAAGCAAAGTCAATGGGGAACCCAGATTCACTTAATAACCCTGTTGCTAGCTTAACAACTCCAGTGATTCACTTAACAACGGTGGCAAGAGAGGTCATAAAATGGAGCAAAGTACCAATGTTTCGCTTAGCAACAGAATTGTTGGGGTAAATTGTGGTCTTTAAGTCAAAGGACTACCTGTAGAGCTGTTGTCCCATCAGTGCCAAATAAAAACCCTAATCTCTTCCCTGATACTCACATGTTCATCACTGACCAAAGCTAAGAGAGGCAGTTCGGTGTACTGGTTAAGGTGCTAATCTAGAAACCAGAAGACATGAGTTCTAGTTCTGCTTTAGACAGCTGGGGGATTCTGGGCCAATCATCAGGAGACTGTGAGTCCTAGTTCCAGTGTTGGCAAGATGAGTTTGGATCAGGACCTCTCTCTCAACCAACACACCTCACAGGGAAACAGGAGGGGGTAGGATAATTTTGTGTCAGGTCTGCCATCACACTGCTTCAGTCCTGCTTCCCTTCGATGGCATCCTGCCATAAAAGTGGGAGGGGGAGGGAGGAATAGGGGAATAGAGAGAGGAGGAATGACAGAATGAGAGGAAGCAGAGGTGCCAACTCGGAACAGAACCTGGCAGATCCAAGGACACAAGCCTGAGAACAGAAAGTGAATGCCCACCAAAGAGGCACAAAACTTTGGGATTGTTACGAAAACACCTAGTTGGAATACCATTGGAAATTAACAGGAAGACCAAGGGGGAAGGGCCTTGGCTAAAGTAACTGGGTTTACATGGGAACATTCAGATCTGACTTTGCTATGCTGTAATCGTTTTTCACTACAGAATCGAGTTGAGGGTCTTTCTTTCCTGAATATGCAAGCTGGGACAGGCCTGACAATTAGGTAGGTTTGCTGCTTTGAGTTATAGGTAGTCCTCATAATTGAGCCCAAAATCGGTGTTGCCAAATGAAGTTTGCCCCATTTTACAACCTCTCTTGCCGCATTTGTTAAGTGAGTCAACGCAATTCTCACATGGTTGTTAAGTGAATCTGACTTCCCCATTGACTTTGTTTGTCAGAAGGTCACGAAAGGGGATCCCATGACTCCCCCAGGGACACGGCAACCGTCATAAATGTGAGTCAATTGCCAAGAGTCTGAATTTTGATCACATGACCTTGGGGATGCTGCAACAGTCGTTAAGCGTGAAAAATGGTCCTGTCACTTTTTTCAGTGCTGTTGTAACTTTGAATAGTCACTAAATAAACTGCTGTAAGTCAAGGACTGCCTGCACTTATAAAACTGTGTTGGCGACGCGTGCCAGAAGTAACACGCAGAGCCATTTCCCCTGGGACACGAGAGATCGCCCGGAAGAGACCACTGTGCATGCATGTGCGTGCCACTGCCCGACAGCTGTGCAGGGAGCGGAGGGGAATTTGCAGGAGATGCGTGCATGCGCAGGGAGCGGAGGAAGGGTTTGCAGGAGATGCGCGCATGCACAGGGAGCGGAGGGGGGATCGCGGGAGATGCGTGCATGCGCAGGGAGCGGAAGGGGGTTGCAGGAGATGCGCGCATGTGCAGGGAGAGGAGGGTTCTGGGAAATGCATGCGCAGGGATGAGCTGCGCGTGAGGGGGAATCATGCATGCATGCACAGACACACAGCGCACAAGGGAAATTTTGCGCACACGTGCTGCACGTGAGGGGAGTCACACGTGCATGCACAGGGGGCGTGGGGGGCCCAGCACGCATTGCCTTATGGGAGCTGGCATACCAGCGCATTAGCCACCACTGTTATAAAGTAACAAAGGGAGGATACAGATCTAATAGATAAATAAAATAAATAAGACGCACAGGAGTATTTCGGAACAGGCCCCATTCACACCCAGTATTGGCTTACAAAGCAGGCTTGACGAATGCTTGCAAATCAATCCTCAGAGGGGCAAGCGAATGTCCATCTTCACGAGTTACTTTCCCAGGGACTTTCCGGATAACCTGAGTGAGGGGAAAAGTCAAAAGGGATGAAATTAGATTGGGTAGGGCAATGTTTCACTTTCGGTTCATGCAATTTACTTCAATAACTTCAGCATCTAAATACTATTGTTCTACTGCTCTCCTTGACTTGTGACATTGCTAAGCGAGACAGTTGTTAAGTGAATGTTGTCCCAATTCTACGACCTCCCTTGTCACAGTTGCTAAGTAAATCCCTGGAGCTGTTGAGTTAGTAAGCCAGTTGTAAGATGGGCAGCCATATACATTTGGTTCTTAAATAAATAAATCCTGCCAACTGACAGTAAAAGGCTGAGCGATGGAGTTTATAGTTAGGAAGGAATTATAGTTAGGAAGAAAGAGGGCGAGAAGTGACTCCCCCAGATTCTAGACTGGATCCTGATCAGTGATGGGATTCAAAAAATTTACTACCGGTTCTGTGGGCATGGCTTGGTGGGTGTGGCAGGGAAAGGATATTGCAAAATCCCCACTCCCTCCCCACCCCGCTAACCTGCTTTCCAGCTCCATTCTCCTGTGCGGGGCAACCAAAGAAGACCCAGCCAATCAGCTGGGACTCGGGAGGCGGAGAATAGATGGGGGTGGGTCCAATCAGAGGCGGTATTTGCCGGTTCTCCGAACTACTCAAAATTTCCGCTACCGGTTCCCCAGAACTGGTCAGAACCGGCTGAATACCCACCTCTGGTCCTGATCAAGGCACAGGTGATTCAGGTGAAAAAAATAGAATAAAAAACTCTTCCCCTCTGCTCTTCCACCACTGCTGTCCTGAAAATGCTTCATAAATGGTTAATAAGCCCTAGTGGGCTCTTCTGTGGGACAGAGAGGGAAACTCATCCAAGGGAGGTACAGATATATTGTACATCACCACCCACAAAAATTTTTTTTATTTATTTTATTCATTTTATTTGGTTTGTCCATCGCTTACAAGATAATAGGTATAAGTATAGACATAGTCATGAATACATGAAATGGGTACATATAAGAAAAATAAAAAGAAACAATAGGACAGGGACGGTAGGCACATTGGTGCGCTTATGCACGCCCCCTACAGACCTCTTAGGAAAGGGGTGAGGTCAATAGTAGACAGTCTAAGGTTAAAGTTTTGGGGGTTTGGGGAGGAAACCACAGAGTCAGGTAGAGTATTCCAGAATATTCCAAAATAAGGGTTCCAAAATAAGACTGCCTGATTTTTAAGGCTCAGTATCACGGCTTACTCATTCTTCAGAAAGGCCTGATTCGCTAGAGAGCAAATGGGAAGCAAACGAAGGAAAAGGAGTGGGGTGGGAGGAAAGAATGCAGATGAACCTTGCTTTACCTACCTCTCTGTCCAGACTCATGAAGCCGAGTGCAAAACCTTCACATTCGAACTTATGGATGATTTCTGGGAGCATCAGAGGAGTAAAGGAGATGTGAATGGCAGCAGAGCCACCTGCAGGGAGAACCTGGAAAACAACCATCGAATCAAAGGGATAGCTGGATTGAAGGAAGACTGACAGCCACTAGATCCGTGTTCTCAGCTTTGGCAAAATTTTAAGATGAGTGGACTTCAACTCCCAAAACTCCCCAGCAGGCATGCTGAACTAGCCTGCAGATTTTGCACCAGCATCAAAAGATAACAGAGATAGAAAACTTTCATTGCTTTTGATAATCTAGTGTAGGGATGTCAAACTGGCGGCCCTTGGGCCTGATGCGTCACGCACAGGCCACGCCTACCCCAGTTCTGTGAAGGGGGTCACGATACTTCTCGTGACGGCAACATGACACCCCCAGTTTGACACCCGGGATCTAGTGCATCTCCCAGAATTCCCCAGTCAACCTAACTTTCCTTTTTTAGCTAGGGAATTCTGGGACTTGAAGTCCACCCATCTTAAAACTGCCGTGGTGGAGAAAGTACTCCTCTACCCAAATTTGGTAGATAGTTGGTTGGCCAAAACTCAGAAAGATTCTACAATTTGCAAACTCTTCTGAATTTTTAGTTAGTCGGAAGATGTGCTACCAGATTTTTTTTTTTTAATTGAAATCTGGGGAACTGGCAGGAAACTGAGGGTCACACCTCTCCGTGGGACCCTCAGGAGACAAAATAGGAAGGTGGACGTAGCAGAGTGAAAAGAACATTTTCTCCTTGCTAAGCTGTTGACATTTTCAGTCTTCCAACTCCCTCCATACCATTTCCTACCTAGAGGGATCTAGGACAACCCGCCATGGCCAGCTCGCTGCAGCCAACTCACCGCGAGACAAGAGTTACACTAATATCAAAGAAATGGTGGAAAAGAATCATTAAAGAAAGGATGCCATAGGAGGGGCAATGTTCTGTCCTAGGCCTCCCCAAAAAGCACTGAGGCAATTCTGAGTCCCAGCAAAAACCTATTTTGTTACATTTATGTGAATTTATTTCATTCACAGTCAGCCAACGGCTTGGCAAACAGTCTTGCAAAGGTATACTAATTAGCTCAGACCTTTATCAATCCTGGAACGCTGCCCAGTAAAATTCCACACTCAGTGCTGATAGGGAAGGACTGGGTTATACAGACAAATCTTCACGAGGCTAGAACGAACAGACAAACAAGCAAGTTGTTTCCTGTAAAAGCCCCCTCCCCTTTTTCTCCTCCTTTAATCCTGATGGCAGGGGCCTGATGGTCATCGTCCACCTGTGGCCTTACTCTCATGTTGACCCTGAGTTAATTGGGCCTTCCTTTTGGCAGCTCTGTGCTGGGAATCGGTTCCAGAAGCTCCCCCATCTCACTGCTATCCGAGCCCGAAGGCAGCTGATGACTGCCAGCCTGCCCTGGCCCAATTTCTGCCTCTGACGCAGAGCCCTCATCTGAGCCATCCTCAGCCTCCAGGGCTGGCCCGGGTTCCTCCCCAACCTCTTCCTACTGTCTGACTTTGGTGCCAGCTCCACCAGCCGCCGGCCGGCCACAACAGGCAGAATAAAATGTGATGACAAAAATTAAAATGTTTTTTAATTATTTAAATAATTAGATTAATTGTAGAATTTTCCCATCTCACCATTCATCACAGCAACTTGGCTGTGATGAGTTGTCCTTTGGTGAGTTGTCCCACAGCCAATTGGCCGTGGCGAGTTCTTCCATTCCATACCTCCCATTCCGTGCCAACTGGGCTAAGGGAGCTGCAACTTACGATCTGTTTGGGAGTAATGCAGAAAGGGTAATCCGAAGGTTCACCCTCGTGAGGTCGAAGGACTACGGAGACTATTGGCTTGAACGTCAGTGGTTCCCAGAGGGAATCATCAGAACTTCCTTCATCAACCTCAAATAGTGTCTCCAGACTCTACAGTGAAAGTGGGGAAGAAGTAAAAAAAAAAAAATCCTGCTAAGACTGGTACTTGATTCAATAGAAACAGGGGCAAAGGTTTGTTGTATAAATACAAGTGTGCACTATATTTTGAAGAGGTGGCTCAGCATAATTGCTGGGAATCTCTGCTGGAAAAGGTATGGACGTAATTTAAATGGATAAAATTTTGCTTTTTGAACATCACAATCACAGTGGGAATATTAGGAAGCAAAGCTCAGCCCTGAATGTGGAAACAGTTTTTCAACTTTGTATTGTACGTCAAGTAGAGAAACCAGTCTTCCAACCTTCTATTCCCAACTGGAAGCTGCTATAAAAAGCCCTCCAAAGGCTCTTAGTAAATCATGTCTAGGGACCGACCCTCTTACATTTGCCCATCCTTAGATCCTCTGTCTACTGATCCAGCTGCACAGTGATTCCCCAGCCTCGACTGGCCAGAATGGAACAAGCAATGTCCGTATATTGTCTTTTAAGGCAGGGGTCTCCAACCTTGGCAACTTTAAGACTTGTGGACTGGACTCAGCATCTGGCTGAGGAATTCTGGGAGTTGAAGTCCACAAATCTTAAAGTTGCCAAGTTTGGAAACCCCTGTTTTAAGGGACAAAAAAGCAAATCGTGTTAATTCCTTTCATTGCTGCAATGGCACCAACAGTAAGGATTAAAATCTTCTGTTATAATGCAAGAGTGGAGCAGTGATTTTCAACTTTGACAGCTTTAAGATGGGCAGACATCAATTCCCAGCATGCTGACTGGGGAATTCTGGGAGTTGACATGCACCCGTCTTAAATTTGTCAAGGATAAGAAACACCACACTTGAGGTTCTATGGGGTACAAATGGCTTTTCTGCTCGTCACATCATTTGACAGAAAAGAACTTGATATAGACAAGAAAAACAACAAGAGGGGAAGCTCTCCGGTGTGTTATTCTTTTATCGGCTGCTGATGAATTATGGCATTCTCAGTTGCAAAGGCAACTGAGAATGAAGGAAATATGGCAAAGAAAGTTCTGCTCTCACTTGGAAGGGAAATCAGCTGATTTAGAATGGAACAGAGCAGAACAGAATACTAGAGTCGGAAGAGACCTTGGAAGTCCAACCTCCTGCTAGGGCAGGAAACTCTATTCCATTTCAGACAAATGGTTATGCAATCTCTTCTTAAAAGCCTCCACCCACAACTTCTGAAGGCAAGCGGTTGCACTAACTATTTCTCACCGCCAGGAAATTCTTCCTTATTTCTAGCTTGCTTCTCTCCTTGATTAGTTTCCACCCATGGATTCTTGTCCTGCCTTCAGGTGCTTTGGAGAATAGCTTGGCTCCCTCTTCTTTGGAGCTACCCTTGATATCTTGGAAGACTGCTATGTGTCTCCCCTAGTCCTTCTTTTCATTAGACTAGACATACCCAGTTCCTTCATATGATTTAGCCTCCAGTCCCCTAATCAGCTTTGCTGTTCTTCTCTGCACTCTTTCTAGAGTCTCAGTCTAGAGTCCTTATTTAAATAAAGGCAATCCCATGGCTTGTAGTGGTTCCAAAAATTCTGTTTTTAGACAAGGTAAATCTGTACATTCAAAGTGACCTGCAAAATCACTAGGAGGAATGTTGGTTTATTTGTCTTAGCTGTTAAAAATAGCAAAAATCAACCTGACTAAAAGCCCAAATTATTTTTCTCCCTAGTCTTACTATACCCCAAGAAGAAGAGAAGAGAATTGTAAATGTCTTGCTGACTGTAGTAGTATTGAAGAAATGCCATGTATTCTAAGAAAACCTTATTTTGGAGAAATCCTTTTAAAAGGGAGGAAAATGACACTTTTTAAACAGTCTACGTACTAACCGTGTTCTCCTTGGTTGCTGACCAGGTAGAGTCGGAAGTGAAAGATATATTCTTAGAGGATGTGTCTGACTCCCATAGGACATTGATCTCATTGCCATCGGGGTCCTTGATGGGAAATGGTGTGCCATAAAACACCAACAGATCAATCAATTTGTCATCGTCTTTATCTTGGTTGTAACTTTCCCAGTCCATTCGGATCTCTGAATTGAAGAAGGGAGGAAAAGTTGAAATCAAAATCAGGGTGGCTAAAGATTTGCAGCTAAGTATGGGGTTGACCACAACCTCAGAGGATCATGGGCTAAAACAGCGTTTCTAAAATGTGGCAACTTTTAAGCTGAAGTGTGGACTTCAGCTCCCAGAATCTCCTAGCCCGTTGGGTTAAAACCTAGTTATGAATACATGGATACATATAAGAATTTTTAAAAAAAATAATAAAAGAAACAATAGGATAGGGACAGTAGGCACGATTGGTGCGCTTATGCACGCCCCCTACAGGCCCCTTAGGAAGGGGGTGAGGTCAATAGTAGACAGTCTAAGGTTAAAGTTTTTGGGGTTTGGGGAAGGAACCACAGTCAGGTAGAGTATTCCAGACATTGACCACTCTGTGCTGAAGTCGTATTTCTTGCAATCAAGTTTGGTGCGATTAACCTTGAGTTTGTATCTATTGTTTGCTCTTGTGTTGTTATGGTTGAAGCTGAAGTACTCATTGACAAGGTAGGATATTGCAATATATGATTTTATATACTATACTTAGATCAGACCGAAGGCGGCGTACTTCTAGGTTTTCTAGGTCTAGAATTTCAAGTCTGATGACATAAGGTATTCTGCAACGAGTAGAGGAGTGGAGAACTCTTCTTGTGAAATATTTCTGGACTTTCTCAGCTGTCTTAATATCAGATACATAATGTGGGTTCCAGACTGATGAGCTGTATTCGAGTATTGGTCTAGCAAATGTTTTGTATGCTCTAGTTAGTAGTGTAGTATTACCAGAGAAAAAGCTATGTAAGATTAGGTTAACAACTCTTAATGCCTTTTTGGCTATGTAGTTACAGTGGGCTCTAGCACTTCGATCATTAGAGATGAGTATTCCAAGATCCTTGACAGAGTTTGGATCATCAACAAGGTCTTGACTATTCAGCCTGTATTTTATTTTCTGATTTGTTTTGCCAATATGTAGGATAAAGCATTTATTTGTTGAGATTTGAAGTTGCCATTTGTTTGACCATTCTGATACATAGTCAAGGTCTTTTTGAAGGGTAGCAGTATAGTCTGTGGTGTTGAATAGCTTTACATCATCGGCGAAGAGAACGCGGTTGCTCTTAATATGATCACAAAGGTCATTCATGTCGAGTATGAAGAGAGTTGGTCCTAAAACATTGCCTTGGGGGACACCACTGTTGACAGGTACAGAATTTGATAGGACGCTCCCAATTTTGACCATTTGTTGTCTGTTTGACAGGAATGCTTCTATCCAGTTATGCAGGTGTCCAGAGATACCATAAGATTTTAGTTTTAGGAGTAATTTGTCGTGTACCACTGAATCAAAGGCTTTACAGAAGTCTATGTAGATTGCATCTATTGCTTTGCCCTGATCGAGTTGTGTAGTCCATATGTTTTTGCAGGGTAAGAGTTGCAGATTACAGGATAGTTTTTTCTGAAACCAAATTGTTTATTAGAGAGTAGGTTGTTTGTCTCTAAGTGGGGGATAATGGATTGGTTAATAATTGATTCCATGACTTTACAGGTAATGCAGCATAAGGAGATTGATCTGTAATTTTCGACTAGGCTGGGGTCTCCCTTTTTGAAGATGGGGATGACCATGGCTTGTGACCATAGTTTTGGCAAGTAGCTGGTCCTGAAAGATTTTTCAAAGATTATGCTTAGAGGTTTGGCTATGGCAGTGGATAGCTTTTTTAAGAAGTAGGCACATATTCCGTCCGGTCCAATAGATAGAGATGGTTTTAGATTGCGTAGTGCTTTTTTAACATTGTCTTCTGTAAAATCGATATGTATTAGATCATTGTAGTTGTCTGTGGTTCGACAAGGAAATACTGGGCATGGTCCATTGCTGTTTACAAATACTGAGCCAAAGAATGTGTTAAAGAGGTTGGCTTTAATAGTGTCGTCGCTGCAGTCTTTACCATTAGGTCCTTTCAGGGGTGGGATGGACCTTGAGTCTTTTAGTTTGTTGTTTACAAAATTGTAGAAAGTGCAGGGGGAATTGGTGCGTAGAAGGTTTTCTTCTTGTTTAATGTGATAATTGGTGCATTCGGTTTTTATCTGGTGGCATAAATTTTTGTATCGGTTTTTGAAGTTGGCAATGTGACCAGATTTCTTTTTCCACCAAAGTGATTTCTTTTTGGATTGAAGCTTCCTTATTTTTATGGGTAATTTGTTTTTTCTGGTTTTGGGAGTTGTTAATGGTACATATAGTTTGACGACTCTTTTGACTTCAAGTAAAAATATGTTGTAATGGTCTTCTACAGTATTGCATCCAGTGAATAGAAATTGCCAATCAAGGGTTGAGAGATCGTTGTTTATAAGATCATAGTTGCCTTTTTTGAAGTTATAATTGGGGATTCCATCATTGTGATGATTTTTGTGTGGACGTATGTTGAGACAAAAGTCGATCATGTTGTGGTCACTGTTGGAAAAGAGTTCTTTAATTTGTATTCCGTAAATTGAATTCAAACTATTGCAGAAGATGAGATCGAGGCAGTTGTTAAATCTAGTGTTGTTGGTTACTCGTTGTTCTAGTCCCAGATTTGTTACTGCATTGTAGAAGGTTGCATGTGTGAGTTCAGTTGTACATTCGTTAAGGGTCCAGTTAATATGAGGTAAATTGAAGTCACCAAGAAAGATAAAAGCGTGTGGGCAAGATGCTGCCCATGTTAATAGTGTATTTAGCTTGTTTGCATGTTCAATGTCATAATCAGGTGCTCTGTAACATAGTAAGAATTGAAATGTGATATTTAAGGACAGTTCACAGACGATGGTCTCAGGAATAGCAAACTTCTGGGTAACTTGGATTTTTTTTAGATGTAGGGACTTTTTATAGAAGATAGCAACACCACCACCTCTACGGATTTCACGATTTGATCGGTAAACATGATAGTCTATTACTGTGGTAATGGAATCAGGGAGAGAGGCGTTGAGCCATGTTTCACAGACAAACGTAATGCCAAATTTAGCTGTAGTTAGTAAGAGGAGAAATTCAGGTATTTTATTTACAAGGCTTCTTGCATTGAGTAGCTTGCATTTAAGGCCAATTGTGGTTGGAATAGAGGTAGTTAGGGGCGGGCGTGCCTAGTTTTGAGTGATATTGGATGGGGTGGAGTTGGATGCAGAGTTGTGGGTTGTGTGACTTTCTTTTGATGCAATCAGCTCGATAGTCAATGTATAGATCCTTTTCTCCATTGTCTAGACGGTTTTTGAGTTCTGTGCGGAGTTCACGGGAGTGGTTTCTCTGCAGTATGGATAACTCTGGTCTTGAGCGAAGATTTTTGTGGTTGGGATTGGTTTTTGCAATAGTGTTTATTGTATGAATGAATATGCATTTGCTGGACTCATTTTTGCATACAACCCTACAAAATGTTGGGGCCATAGAGCCGTCATTGTATTTGTACCCAGGGCCATCTCTGGTTATTTCAATGATGTCTTCAGGAGAGATGTTTGTTGTATTAGAGTTGCTTATGATATTGTGAACTTTGGTGATGTCGTCTGATTCGTTGGTGTCTTTGAGACCAAATAAGATGGCAGTTTGTTCAAAAATTCTCATCCTCAGGACTGGGTTTGAATGTTGCTTGGAGAAAATTTCAAAATCCGAGAATATTTGGGGGCAAGGAGGAGACAAGGAGAGACCTATTCTTAGGTGGTTTCTAAACTTGGAAAAACCTTGATCCGAGGTGGGCTGCTGCCAGTTTGCACTGGTTGAGGCGAAGTGATAGTTAAGATTCTGTGCAGTTTGGCCAACTAGCAAATCCCACCACTGGCTGGCCCCACCTCCACTCGTTTTTCAGCTTCTTTTTTGTGCTGTTTTCAGGCCACTTTTTGGCCAATTTCGGACCAAAAACTGCTCAAAAAACAGCCTGAAAATGTCCCAAAAACTCTTGAAAATGGCCCGAAAAAAGGTGTGGTCTTTGGCCATTTTTTGAGCCCCTTTTGGCTATGTTTTTGGCTATTTTGGGGGCATTTTTTGCCAAAAAATGGTCCAAAAATGGCCTGAAAATGGCTCAAAACCAGCCTGAAAACCAGCTTGAAAATGCCCCCAAAACGGCATGAAAACAGCTGAAAAACAGCCCAGAAAACCACCCCAAAACAGCCAAAAAAATAGACTGAAAAGCGGGGCCAGCTAGTGGGGGATTAGCTCCAACTGACTTAATCCTACCTTTGCCTGGCGAGCGGCCAGGAGGCAGGGCTGGGTGTGATGAGTGAGATCACCCACCCAGTCACATGACCAACCAGCCATGCCTACCTAGCCAGAGAACTGGTTGTTAAAAAATTTGCAGCCCATCACCTATCTTCACCCTTCATTTTCCTGGTGGGGGGCCTTGCCTTTTCTTGGTGGGAAATGATACTGGCCAGTACAAACACTTACCAAAGGGAGTGGGGTTATTGAGACGGATGTACCGTGAGACGGTGTCTCCTCCAGAGATATGGGCTCCAAACCTGGGAAGAAAATAAGGAAAATGAGGATAGCTGAAATAACCATGATTATTAAGGGAATGATAATTATTTAATTAGTCGGAACAATGTTGTAGAAAAATGGAATGGGGAAAATATATTTCCCAGGAACCCTCCTGCTAATCAACCGAGCCAGAAGCTTACAGGAATTTTCTGGAGGAATGCAAAACTATTTGACCAGAATAAGGATATTTGTTTATTTATTTATTTGTATTCCATAGTTATTGTTTTTACAAATAACTCAAGGCAGCAAACATATCCAGCACACCTTCCTCCTCTTATTTTTCTCACAACAATAACCTTGCGAGTAGGTTGGGCATGACTGGCCCAACGTGCCAGAGGTGGGACTAGAATTCACGGTCTCCTGGTGTCTGGCTTTCATGCCCAAGGTGGGACTAGAATTCACGGTCTCCTGCTTTCTAGCCTGGCTAGAACTACTAGACGGGGGAACGGAAACACAAGACAGAGCTGGATAAAAACAAGCATTGGTCTTTCAGACAGAAGTTCTGGGAGATTCAAAATCAATCAGCTTCATCCCCATCTCTTGCAAAAGACCTAGGCCACAGCCTTAAGGCTGCCATTGGGTCAGTCCTCCAGCATGAAAGAGAAAGAAAAGGGGGCTCCGTGGCCCAGGAGAGCTGTGGCCAGGTCAGGACTGTGTCCCAAAGAGAAAAATACAAGTTCATGCTGGTCTAGCTACAGCTCTCTGAAATCCCTACTGCCTTGTAACTGAGAGTTCCCAGTAGCCTCGTTAAAAGTTTCGGGCATCTACCTGAGGGTGGGTATTGCCACGGGATGGCTTGGTCCAGTCATCTGCAGGAAGATGGGGCAGCCTTTCACAGACATTTCTATGGGGATCACCTTCAGCTCTGATTCACCCACCTGCACAAAAAAGAGTAATTTTTATATCCAACTCATTTCAACCCTGGGCTATAAAAAAATTTAAGGTTGTTTTCAAGCGGTACTACAAAGTACCGCTTTGTAAAACCTTGGTTAAGGCCACACCTGGAATATGGCATCCAGTTTTGGTCACTACGTTACAAACAAGATGTTGAGACTTTGGAAAAAGTGCAGAGAAGAGTAACTAAGATGATTAAAGGCCTAGCTAGAGACTAAAACATAGACTAAAAAAGAACTTTTCTTTTTTTAAGAATATAGTGTGTATTTTAAGAATGTACCAAGCAGAATCCGAATGGAAGTTATGCATTATATTGAATTGTATAACTTTAGGGTATATATTGAAGCCTAAATAAGAGTTGAATGGATAAACTTAAAAGATATAAAGGCGTCATATTCCAATCAGTAACTGCAGGAGAAATTTTGTTTAATGAGAAAAGATAATAGATAATTGAAACAGGACAGACAAAAAATATAAATACAATGATTTGAATTGAGATGAGATAATTAAAATAAAATTGAGGGGAGAAGCTATGCAGAAAATGTAAAATAGTAATAAGATATGGAATAAAATATAAAAATGAGCATGAACCTGAATTTGTGTCTGTACGAAGAAATGTAACCTGGGATTACGCTACTTTCAAAAAAGATGTTTTATTTGTATTTTTTTTCTCTTTGTGAAAACTCAAATAAAATTTACAAAAGAAAAAAAAACATATGAAGAACTGTTGCAGGAATTGGGTATGGCCAGTCTAGAGAAAAGAAGCACTAGGGGAGTGATATGATAGCAGTCTTCCAATATTTGAGGGGCTGCCACAAAGAAGACGGAGTCTAATTATTTTCCAAAGCACCAGAAGGCAAGACAAGAAGCAATGGATGGAAACTAATTAAGGAGAGAAGCAACCTGGAATTCAGGAGAAACTTCCTAACAATGAGGACAATTAACCAGTGGAATGACTTGCCTCCAGAAGTCATGGGTGCTTCATCCCTGGAGGCATTTAAGAAGAGACTGGACAGCCACTTGTCTGAAATCGTATAGGGTGTCCTGCTTGAGCAGAGGGTTGGACTAGAAGACCTCCAAGGACAGCTCTATTGTGAACGTGAAATTTGAAGATATTCTCCTTTATTATACCCAACTGATTCTAAAGAAGGGGGTGCTTTGGAGAATAGTTCTTACCAGGTGTTGGTGAATGCTAGCATGCCATTCAAAAAATTATGGCGTGTCACCTTTGAAACACATGTCGTGGGTTTGTCACCAACTGCTCTGATATCAAGTCAAAGTTCCCCCAGCTGGCTCAGACAGGCTGCCTACCTTACAGATGAGAGTGTCCTTATAATGTCCCCACATATTGTTGTAGGCTGTGATTTCTACGGTAAGTTCCTGGAAAGCCTTCAGGGTTCCCTCCGACGGATGCACATGGAAAGCCGCTCCTTTCCCATGGGACAGCACAGACGCTCGGAAAGCTGGGAAAGGAGGAAAACAAAAACAGCATGTCCTTCCTGTGACAGTGCAGCTGCTGGACTTCCTGTTGTCTGAAAGGGACTGGCCGGAGTCTCTTATCCAGCTGCATTTTCCCATCAAAATAAATCTTCAGCCTCACAAACTTCCTGTCTACAAAAACACAACATTTTTTTCTTCTTACCTGACTGCTTCCTCTTTGCAAATTGTCTTGTTATCCGTCTGGTTTTTTCCACCATCATGTCCCTGGGTAGAGGAAATAGTCTCTCTGAGAACTCATAACGATACCTTGATTATCTGCAGGCTTGATGCATGCTTCAAAAATGTACTTAAAAACACTGCAGGTGTGACAACAGCTGCTTTCTTCACCTGGCAATACTGATCTGTTAGCTAAGGGACACAATGCCCTTTTCAGGATAGTGGTTCTGGGAGTCACTACAATCCACATCATCACCAAGCATAGCAGGAAGTCATTTCCCTTAAGATGGCTTTTGTAAACATTGGTTCAATAGAAGATGATAGATAGATAGATAGATAGATAGATAGATAGATAGATAGAT